CAGTTCCCTCCTCTCAACCTTAAGAATTAAACATTATGTCTTCAACTAAACTATGAATAAAAGCAGCACAGCCTAGTGGCTGTAGGAGAGAGACAAAAACAAGAATTCTTGATCCTGGGTCTGTTCCTCAATTTCATCATCTGAGAAGTAAACTGAAGGTACCCTCATCTCTACAGATATGACAGGAATGAAGTTACCAGCCTGCTGCTCTATCTCTAGTAAGTTGTGTTTCTTTGTAAAATCATTAAAATTATGTTTTTACAATATTACTTGAACGTGCCATAACACTCTGTCCCCAAAAATATGTTGTATAGGAATAACTCTTGTTTTTTCTCTACAACAGTCTATTCACAGCATATTTCACTTCTGGGCACCAAACGTGGGGTTTTTTTCTCCACATCCATCAATTCTCCAATGCCAGCAGGGTGTCCTACATTACGTGGAGATACTGTCAGATCCCACAGGTTGAGGGCTCAGTCCCACAAGACTGCCCCCCATTTCAGATGCTAATCACAGGCCCGTGCTGTTACCTGTGATTCTGACTGACTGCCTATCAATCCGAGGTTCCCAGCACCCCCTTCATGGGCTCTAGAATTTGTTACAGAGGCTCATGGAACTCAGGAATACAGTTTACTTACTATATACCAGTTGATTATAAAAGTATACAACTCAGTTAAGAGCCAGATTGAAGAGAGATGCGTGGGGCAGGCCGTGTGGGAATGGGCTCTGAGGTTCCGTGCCCTCTCCAGGCACAGGACCCCCAGCCCTGCACCTCCGTATATTCATCCAACCCAGAAGGTCTTCAGTTAGGGTTCTTTATGGAGGCTCCATTACATAGGCATGATGGGTTAAATCACTGGACGTTGGTGACTGGACTCCATCTCCAGCCACTCTGGCCTTGGAAGGTAGTGGTGGTAGAGGGCTCAAAGTGCCAACCTGCTAATCACATGGTTAGTTTTCCTGGCAACCAGCTCCATCCTTAGGTGCTTTCCAAAGGCCACTTCATTAACAAACTCAGGTGTGGCTGGAAGGGGCTTGTTAGGAATAATAAAAGACATTCTTTTCACCTTTGTACTCTGGAGCTACTTCAGGAACTGGAACAAACAGTAAACATTATAACAAAAGGTGCACTTGTAGCTTTTATCACTTAGGAAATTACAAGGATTTTAGGAGCTCTGTGCAGGGAACCATGGAAGAAGACCAAATATATATTTCTAGTTATATCACAAGATCACATATGTACAAACTAAACTTTGGAAAGTCAATATTTCCCACATAACCAATTGACATTTCTGTTAATGCTACATTGTTGTCAAAGCAACCATTCTCATTTTTTTTTTTTTCATTCTCATTTTTAAAAACTGTAAGTTTCTACACTGCGATTGTTGATACGTTGGATCTCTAAGAAACATTTTCTTTAAGTGATGGTGGCTGTCTGTACTGGGAGGGTCAAGGAAAAGAGTGTCTTTTGTGTTTCATTAGATGCTTAATTATAGTCATGCTCTGCCCAAAAAAGTATTTTTTAAACACTTTTTAAGTGTTTCAGAGAAGCATAATTAAGTGAACCAGTCTCTGAATGGAGAACAGCACAGGTGCCAACCACTCTTTCCGCAATTGCTCAGGGGCATCTAGACCCCTGATGGACACTGCAGCAATGCCCTCACTTGGAGTGGCCATAACTGGGACGGGGCTTGAAGTCTTTCTCCTTCCCAGTCTCTAGGTCAGATAGTTAATAGTCGCTACACAAATGATTAAAGGCTTCCTTACTTTATAAAATGAAACTAAAGATGTCTGGCTTAACAATACTTTAATAAAAATACTCCATTTCTCCATTCTTGATATTCAAGTAAGCTATGGTTTCTTTTTTTTTTAATCCTTACATGACTTCCCGTGGAAGAGATAAATTCATTCTTAGGAAGGCCATTCTTGATGACATTCCTTTTTAAGGTGAGGGCCTTGTTTTAACATACATTTCGTTTCATTTTTTTAAAATTCTTTTGGAAACCATTCTATAAAGGAAGGCTTTTGTCTTTCAGGTGATACACTGGTATAAACCAATGAAATTCGATGTTCATATGTTAAACATTTGTCAAGTGCTTCACTTCACACTAAACTTATTGGCAGAGAGAGCAGAAGGGAAGTGCTCATCTAGTTTCATTTTGCTCTTCCCTCTTCAGACTCCTTATCAGGGCAGTCATCTTCCAAGCAGGATGGAAGCAAGTGTGGTCAGAGTAGTCTGGGGTCCCTTGGGCCTCGTGGAAAGTCCTGCAGCAAGCATGCCTTCGAAAGGTAACTTGTGTTTCAGGTCAAGGGTGCTCAAAGCCAACTCCTATGGGGAAGCTGCAAGAACAGTCACATAACGGGCTGGGGAGGGAGGAAAAGTAGGTGGGATATGCCACTGCAACCAGATCCACTGCAATATAATTAGGCTGGGAATTGCAGAACTAGGTCAAAGGCAGCTGCTTATTCTGAGAGGTATTATGCAAGCAGAGATGGGGAAACAAATGAGAGCTCTCAGGACCAGGTGTACTGTGAACTGGAAGGGACGATTAGTGATGGCAGTGGGGGATTGGGGTGGAGCTGGCCACCAAACCCAGTGACATCTTCTCCTGAGCCCAAGGCAAATCCCGGCAGCATTCCTCTGCCCTCCCTGATGGACTGTGTCTGCGTGGAGAGGACAGTGAAGAGATCTACAGCTCACACTTGTCCTACGTAACACTTCTTACTAACACATGAACGTATGTGGAGTCTCGGAAGAGCTTCCAAGCATGTTTGGGAACAGTTAATGGGAAACAACCCTCTGCAGAGCCAAATGCTAAGGGTAATTAGGGGAGAGGAGAAAAAAGTGAGGAGAAGGCAATGTGAATATCAAGAAGGAAGAAGAATGAACTGCATAAAAACATAATTTTACACACACACACACACACAAATAGAAAAAAAAAAGAAAAAATCAGAGAGTGCAAAAATAAGCTATTTTGTTCCCAAGCAGAGGCAAATTGTATTCTTAGAATAAGGCAATTGGTAAAAAGTTTGAGAACCTTCCCATCACTCTTTTATACTTACTTAATTTTTTAAAGGAAAATACACAATAATGTAAGGTTATAGTAAAACCGATAAACTCATAAATCCCCTGTAACAGTGTAAATGATCACAACATTTTTTGAATATCAACTTGGCAATAAGAATCAAAAGCTATAAAAATTGTCATAGCCTTTCACCCAATAATACTACTGGGCATTTAACCTTAAGGGAATAAATCACATACACACAAAAAAACTACATAAAAGTATTCACTGCCACATTTTTTTTTTTTTTTGCGGTACGCGGGCCTAGGCTCCAGACGCGCAGGCTCAGCCGCCATGGCTCAGGGGCCTAGCCGCTCCGCGGCATGTGGGATCTTCCCAGACCGGGGCACGAACCCATGTCCCCTGCATTGGCAGGCGGATTCCCAACCACTGCGCCACCAGGGAAGCCCTGCCACATTATTTTTAATAGCAAAAAAAAAATTTTTTAATGGGGGCTAGAGACAAATTAAATTGTCTCAAAACAGAAGAATGATTAAGTAAACTAAGACACAGCAACACAGTGGAAACCTATGGAGTCATTAGAAACCATAATTATGAAAATTATGAAGTTTATGTACCAACATGAAAATGTGTATGATATATTATAATACATAATCTTTATTAAATATCACTAGATGGCCATTACTACTAGGTAAAACATGCAAACCTATGACCAAGACCAAGAGGAAACGGGGCAAAGAGACAATATGTTAGGAACTGTAGAATGTCACTGTAGAGTGACATTGCTTTCTTTTTAAAATTTCCTTCACTGGTTTATTGTGTGTCCATTAAACACAGTATGGATTTTCTGGACTAGTGGTAAAAGCAGAAACAATAAAATGAAAGGATGGAGGCTCTTAATAAGAATCTTTTAAGCTATTAATCAAACTTTTCTTTTCCCTCGTCTTCCTGCTTTTATAGACCTTCACAGTTGTCTCACTCTGCTGCCTAGATACATCTCTTGTCCATCTCCCCTTAAAGGACCATTCTTAGGACCAAAACCCAGAACCACTAAACCTGCCCCAGTCAGCCCTCTTTCACCCCCAGGGCATCACCGTGACCTCAAACGTCCAAGGCTTTCCCTCAGCTGCCTGAGCCTGCCCTGCCCTTTGTGGGTCCAAAAGAATCAAATGTAAATAGTAAAAGGCAGCAGCATACTAGGCTGCCTGCTGCCAAAAGTTGAGATTTCCCAGCACACACCAAGCTATAATTAACAGGAGGCAATGCCAAAAACAACAAAGGAGCTTCAAGAAAACTATGTTAAAATACTCCTCGGTTTTAACTACATACACATTCTTCTCTGCTCACCCACCCCACCCTCCCTATTGTACCAGAAACTCCTCTGAAACCACCAGACTGTAGAGGGACACTAACACTGCTGCTTGGTGAGCAGGAAGAAGGTGTGTGCTGAGACCACAGGGACAGCCCGAGCAGGTCACTCTTGAGAAACAGAAACACCGTTCTCAGAACGAGAAGGAAATTAGTTAATCCCAGCGCAGGTTACTTAATGGTTTTAAGATTCTGTGTGTCTGTGCGTATGTGTGTGTCTGTGTGAGGGGGTGACAATGCAAGTGAAGTAAAAAACAGCTCCTAGGTCTGCTCAAGAAAATTTGCAAGAACTCCTCCAGCATGGATTGGTTTGAGGCACAGTGGGAAGTATGACTTCTATACACTTCACATCGAGCCCTGTAGTTCTCTGTCTTCAGAAAACCTCCCTCTTCAAAGAGCATTCCTAAGCATTGCCCTGATATCGTCGCTGGTGACTACCATTTAGGAAGGACTGCCTAGACAACTAGCCTTACCCCTTGCAGCATCCTCCCCTGACAGTTTACAATCCCTTTTGGAACCACCGTTGACACTCAGGGCAGGCGACCGTGAGGCCAGCAAGGAAGCCACGCAGGTCTGGGCTTTTTGTCTCTCACTGTAAGCACTTACCTTCATAAGAGGCAACGGAATCTCTTCTGTCACAAGGGTTATTCCAGGAATTTCCTGTGGTGGGGGAAAAACATACACACAACTGCTAAACGTATCAACTACCCCCAGCCCGAGCCTTCAGGAAGTGTCTTCCGTGCAGACAGAAGCTGAGGGCAGCTCCCAGTTTGGTAATCTCTACTTTAAATAAAACTTGGGGTTTATAAATACCAGTGAACACAGCCTATCTCTTGCCTCGGGAAGGGAAATATTCTGTAAAGTTATGATTATAATAGTTGACAGTGTCACTAAAGGAAAGGATAAACTATTATGAAGAAATACAGAGTAAATAATGTATTATTTACACATTTCCATTTAAGAACAAAGGAGGCAAATTATATTTGCACCATCAAGTATAATAATAAGGTGGACGCTTTCCTTTTACTCCTTCCTCCCTCTTCTTCTCTTTCACTTAAATGTATTATAGTTGGTCCCTGCCTCACTAATGGGATTCTTTTTTGACCTCAGTGGAAAACTGTTCTGCACCTCATCCTCTACTGTGATTTCGGAAATAAGAGATCCCCATAAAGTGTTTACCTAGCAAGATCACCATGGCAAATGTGCAAGACGCAATTCATATCAGGAAGTCCAAATTATAACATTCTGCTAACTAGTGAGCATTAAAACAGAAATTTAAATAAAAAGATAAACTGACAAAATTGCCACTTATTTATTTTAAAAAGTGTGTTTCCATGTTAATTATGTATATTAACCTGTCAACTAGTCAATTCCTCTTTCATTTCCTAAAAACTAAGTAGATGATACATAAGAAAATACAAATAAAACCTGGTATTTGTTTAGAACTTAAATGTCCTGGATTTTATTGCCATACAATATTTCTGAGAAAAAGGGCATCACAGGGATGGAGAAATAAACTTCCAGAACATTTAAGCAACTGAGTCCTCCACTGGACAGGAGAAAGCCTGTAATAAAAATCTATGTATGCTTCACTTATCATTACTCAGCAACAGAAATTTCACTACAGCTCTAGGTTATAAATAGCATCTTCAAATAAGTATAACAAGGCTCACTGTCTGCAAAGCATAATTCAGGATTATCTATGTGTAAGACACAATATTTTCTAGTATCTTAAAAAACCCAATTCAGTTATTTACAGAAATAATCTGTCTCCATACAGAAGTATGAAATTTATTTATTAAGGATATAGCATTAAGAGCATATGCAGATTAGAGAAAAGAAAATGATTTACATCATTGCTAAAGAAAATCATAGGCTCATAGAATTTCAGGATTAGGAGAGACCTTTAAGGTAACCTACTCCAACCGCAAGAAGTCTAAAGCAACATGATAAACCCCAAAATAAGCTCTGTACGCAGTGGTTAAACTTTGGGTTTTTTCATATTGTACTTCTTGTAGGACTTCCTGATGTCACTCTGTATGTCCACACATTTCCTCTGCTCCACAAAGGAGGAGAAATGCAAATGTGAAGAACTACCTGTCAGGATGACACTCACACAACAACCAACTAACACATGTACCATGTTTAAACACAACCCTGGGAACCAGAGGTCCAGACCCGGCCTCCCAGACACTGAACACAAGACACCGACAGCCAGCATTGGGTGGTGAGGGGAGGAAGATGAAATGTACATTTCCTGCTTCTGGGGGAGGGGTAGGGATTAACCTGCGAACTTCCTGCCACATTACCACAGAGTCTGCATGTATATTGACAAGGGTGCTTCAAACAATGAGGGCCTGGAGAAGAAACAAGCTCAGATCTTTCCTTATAATTTTACAGAGAGGCATGAAAGTTTACGAACTCTAACAGTGAGAGACAAAGAAGAAAGGGCCTTTGGGAAAACACTACCATTGCGTATACCAAAAATTTAGAAATTCTTCTAACATGGGACTTCCCTGGCAGTCTAGTGGTTAGGACTCTGCGCTTCCACTGCAGGGGGCACGGGTTAGATCCCTGGTCGGGGAACTAGGATCCTGTGTGCCGCGTGGCGCAGCCACAGAAAACAAAAAAAAAGGAAAAAAATTAATCAAACACATCTGATATGCCTTTTTAAAGGACTATATTTAGACAGTCTAAAAACAAAATGGGAAGTGTTACCATTTACCCTAGTACTTATTTTCCTGTGTCTGTGCTACCTGAATTAAATTTATTTTTCTAAATGCTTTTTTGATACAAACCTCTGCCTCAAGACTAAGCACACAGTAGTTCTAACATCTAAATGTGAAAGGAGGAGAGGCAGAACCTTGTTCTGATCCAACAAAGCTCGGTTCACTGAACCACATTCAAGAGAAAACGAACAATGTTTTCTCCTGAAACACTTCTTCCCAGCTAAAAGGAAGGGAGTCTGGACCAACAGGAAGAAAAGGTTGAATGGCATGGATTTGCTTAAGATTACTGACTTTTACTGATCTTGACATTCTAAAGTTATCACAGATTTTCTTTCTAAGGCTGGGAAAAAAGCTCATGAAGGTGCTAATCTACTAAGTAAATAGAACAGCTCAGAACAACAGCAGTGGTCCAGCCGTTGCTCATTTACAAAACCCTAAGAAATATTTTCGTCTATTCTAGCTGCTTGAAAAAAATTAAAAACTAAAACCATCTGAAGATGATAGAGGCTTCATTCTGCTTGGTAGTAGGAAGAGTAACACGTGTGCTGTGCCTTCTCCTTCAGTTCTACTGTTTTATGTGAATAAAACTGGCCAACAGCAAGGACTCACTATTATTTTTCTGCCAGAAAACTCCAATTCAGATCCTTATGCATCAAAACAGAAATGAAATCACAACCTTGGTTACTGTGACGGGAACGTCCTACAACTGACCCACAGCAGTGAATCAATTTTAATTACAGAAAGAATATAAAGTGTTAACTTACTGTATCCCAGGTGAGCAGTGAGGAATATGGCAAGAGTTTATCCATGTTACTTGTCTCTGGATAGATGCTCCAATATGAAGAAGCTGAGTAAGTTTTGGTGGGGAAAAAAGACGTTTTAATATGAAGAATAAGGCAGTAGACGTTGTAATGCACCCAAACAAGCCAACCCACAAAAGTTTTCATTGCCTTATCCTTCATCTGCAAAAGGCTAATCATGGTTCTATCCGCTGATTAAAATGTTCAGGTTCTACTTTTTACACTGAGAATAATTTTTAAAAAATTATTTGGCACATACATCTATCCAAATGACGTTATAACCACTTCGCACAGAACCAGCCAACACAACGCTTAAAATAAATCACTAATAAGGTTATAGAATCAAGATCATATCTTATATGTCATCAGTCTCTGAACAGCCACAGCTTCTTACAAAACCACAAGAGAATGAAATTTAATTAGGTGCTGACTACAACAGAGTTTTAAAAAAATGAAAAAAACACTCCTAAACAGCATTTTGACAGATTGAGGCATTATCAATTTACTGCTTTCCCTTAAGCAAAAGGGTCAAGGGTTCAACTTAATATGCACCATCAGCAACACCTACCAATTATAAATTCCTGAATGAGGTCAAATGAATGGCAGGCAGAGATGTTCTCAGAAATCCACTGAATAATCTTTAAAAAGTAAGAAGACAAATCTATTGGTATTTAAATCTGCACCCTGCCCCCCCCACCAAAGAAGTACAAAATATATATGAATAGTTTAAAATGTTATATCTCTTTTAGAATTGCCTAAGAACACACTCACTTCTACACAATCTCTGAGATACATAACGTAAGGTTGTGTGGGTGAAATATAAATGAGGTCCTTTTCATGCATCATTTTAATAAATGCCCTTGACTGGGATCCAAATAAGCCTTCTTGAATCCAATGTTCGTTTTTGCTAGAGTAGGACATATTACAACAAAGTCGCAGTGTGAAGAGCTATGGATACAGGAGAAAACCAAACTCAACCACTGAGCTTGGAGGCAGCAGACCTGTGTTTGAATTTCAGCTCAATTACACCATTTAATCATTGTGAGCATGGCTATGCTATCAAGGAAGGTATAATCCCTGTTATATCAACAGTTCTCTCAATCAACCTCTATAACCATCCTCACCTGCTGCAGGAACGAAACCCCTTGTTCCCGACCTTAGAATTGATGGTATGAGGCTTGCCTAGCCATAGGGCACTCTTGCATTTCTGATCCTGCCAATAATTGTTCTTATTTCCAAACCTACTCATCAAGCTAGTTGTGCTTATTTTCACAATTAGTTAATAAAATATTACCATAGACAAGTGAAATATGGATACAAAAAGAATGCTGGCGGCTCAATAAAAGTTGAAAGCTTGGGAAAGACTCCAAGGCATGTCTCTAAAACACTTATTAAAAAACTAGGTGTGAGACAACTATAAAAGAAAAAATTGCCTGATATACACAAACTATTTAATGGAGGATTTTTAAACTATTGACCTCCTTAGGGAATAAAATGAAAAGAAAAAGAAAGTAACTGGAAGAGCCATACAGGTACAGATAAAGAAAGTCAAGACATTACTTAGTGGTTTTATGAAAGAAAAACGATTTTGAACTCCAATTAGCTGATACACAAAGAAAGGGCCGTAATCTACATCAAAAGATACAGGAATAAATGTACATTTATATATTTTAGGTTAAAAGAAAATATTTAGGCCATCTTTTTTCAATCGACCAACCACCCATTGGTCCCAATCAAGTCTAATGGGGGGTTTCTTCAACTTCACAGAATAGCTGTAATATTAAATGATAAGATGTATGAAAGTGCTTCATAAACTATAATGTGAAATATAAATGTGAGCTATCTCTATTTAAAATGTCATAAATAGATTTTATTTACCACCAGATTTTAGTCCTTTTCATGATATACACCAAATACAAACCAGGAGAAAAAGTAGATATTTGAGAAACTATTTACCGAGCACTTCCTTGTTAGCACTTCCTAACATTTACTCACAATATGGAAAAGAGAAGAGTGAAAAGAACAGACACGCCCTCCCAGTCTGAGGTCTGTGTCCATAAAAAAGGAGCACAAACGAAGAATATGTTCAAGTCACGACGGAGACCGTAAACCTCAACGGTTACCAAATAAAAATAACTTCTGTTCATTTCAGCTACTAAATGTACACGTGTTGTCCATTTGCCACTTTTTAAACTTAAGCTATAATACCACCTTGGCTTCCAGTCGCCGTGGGTCTCGGCCACATGAGAGCACACAGTGCAACAAGGCCAGCTTCTCGCAGTCCAGCCGGGTGTTCCACAGGAACTCCAATAAATATGACTGGTTGAGGAGTGCCCTATAGAGCTTTCCAGAACCCCAATCCAGGACCAGGGATCCTGACAGTGACTGTAAAGGACTATGAGGTAGCATATCAATCACTTCACTGTTTCCTGGCCAAAAAAAAAAAAAAAAGTAGATCAGCAAATAAAAGAAGCCCCTCTGCCCCAAACATAAATATTAACGTTAAAACGAACCCAAATGTACCCTGTTCATGAGGGGGAAAACTACAGCCATACCTGTCAGAAACAGACTGTGGCAGATCAGGTCTGGATGTTGAATGTTAAGTAGATGAAAGAAATGACCAGGCAAGTAAACAGCTACATAATAGTCTGTGGGAGAGAAAGATTTAAGTCAGTTCCACGTGGCAAGAGCTGTATAGGTACAGATAAAGCCAACAACTTTACGGTATCCCTATTTTTCTTTGAACCTCTTAAAACACAAAGGTTTTGACCAATGTAATAAGAAGCTGTCTGATGTCAGTACGGTCCATCTTCCTAGCAATATCTCATTTTCTTCAGACATTTAGCCATGGTTATCTTAATTTATATCTGTAGTTTTGTTTCTAAGAGAACTGTGGCTTTATAGGAATCTAAATGAGCTCTGAGAGCAAGTTAGAATAAAAAATATCCAGCAACATGAATTATTCCTTAATCTGACAGGCTGGAAATAGCTTATCATGGGAATTTCCTGCATAATTTCTGCCATGTGGGGGAAGCTCTACAATTTAGTTTCCTATGTCTGCCCACTGCTCATCATCGTTGTCATCTTCTCTAAAGAAGCTTTAAATTGATACTCATCAAAACAGTCTCTGCAGGCATTCTGACACTTTGTGAAGTACTAATTTGTTTCCATGCATAGCAAGCTGCCTAGAATGCACATCTTCACAGTCCCTGCACCAGATATTTCTGTACAAAGAACATTTGTATACAGATTGAGGCAAGGTATAAAAAAATAGGTTTCTGGAGAAGGGGGCAAGGTAGAAGTAGCCCTTGCCAATAATTTTTCTAGGATCTTAGAAAAACAAAGAAACTCATACAACAGTGAATTTCATATAGATGAAACATTTAGATTATAAGTGAGCCAGCTAGACTCTTTTTCCCCTAAGAAGCAAAGAAATACATGCTAATAATGTACACAGAAGGCATTCTGTGGAAGGGAAAGGAAAGAGGATGTAAAACTCTAACCAGCTGACTTATAAGTGTCCTTTCAGTCACTGTGGATTCAGTGATGTTAAAGTAGTTAGCACAAGTGGTTGCAATAATGTTACCATTATGGTAATGCATAAGTAGAAAAACACAAATAACGATATAGTAGGGCACAGTGGAAAGGCATCAAATGACCTAGATTAACTCCTAGCCCTACAGCTTAGCCAGTTAATTAGGGTGGTACTATGTCCCTGGGAGAGGGGGCATTTGGAAGTACATGAGGGTGTTCTGAGTTGTCACAATTATTCAGGTAGAAGGGAGATTCCTACTGCCATTTGATGAGCAAGTGGGCTCCAAGGAGGTTAAATCCCTCAATGTGCAGGACCCTCCCACCCAAAAGTTACTTTCTCACCAAAAATATCAATAGTACCTGTGGTAGGCTGAATGATGGCTCCCAAAGGTGTCCACATGGTAATCCCCAGAGCCTATGAATATGTCACCTTAAGTAATAAAAGGGACCTTGTAGATGTGATTAAGGATCTTGAGGTGGGGGGGGGGGTATCCTGGATTATCCAGGTGGACCCAATGTAATCACAAATGGTTTTATAAGAGGGAGGAACAGGGAGCATGACTACAGAAGAGAAGACCACATGATGATGCGAGAGACTGGAGTGATGTGGTCACAAGCCAAAAAATGCTAGCCTCTATGTGCTGGAGGAGGCAAAGAATGAATTCTTCCCTGGAATCTCCAGAAGGAACCATTTCTGCCCCCACCTTGACACCTCAGGACTCACTCCTTGCAGAATTCTCACCTCCAGAGCCATAAGACAATGTGTTATTTATCTAGGGGCTAATGTGTGGTGATTTCTTATTGCAGCAATAAACTAATATAGTGCCCCTGATAAGAGACACTAGAAGAAGCTTGGGCACACATCACAGACTTTCTGAGACTCAGTTTCATTATCTGTAAAATGGGGATAACGTCACCAAGAAGAATTGTTGTAAGGATCAAGATAACAAATAAAACACTTAGAATATAGTATTAATTTTTAAAATGATAGTTTTTTAATGTATAAACATATCTTTCTTATATACAGGTGTTTGGAGTTCATGGAAAACTTCCTCCAAAACTCTATTCTTTAATATTTCAATCAATATAAGCCCCTTTTAAGAGGGTGACAATTCAGGGAAATTCCATGCAATAAATCGCAAAAAAGACATCACTCAAAAAGCAATACTGTTGTCATAAAAATTACCTCTAGAATAGTTCTAATCTTGGGTACAATTTTGTGCCTATATATTAAAATCTGTTTAAAGAAGGAAAGATGGCTTAATGTGAGATAGCCTATTTTTACAAAGCTCTAGTATTTTTGCCCTCTCCACGCTCTGAAGACCAGAGATTAAATCATGCCTGCCCTTTTCAAGAGTCAATCCCAGGGGTAAGAACAGGAAGGATACCTTTGACCTCACAAAAGGCTAAGTTTTTTTAGTGGAGAGTTTCCCACATCACTCTGGAGATGGGATGCTGATAAAGGATTTCTGATAAGAATCAAGTCTCAGACCTAGGAAACCTTATATTTATCCTTCTTACCACAGGAAGCAGTAGAAGCAGGCCTCTCTAAAGCAACTTCCCACAGGTTCAGAGCTCATATTAAAAACTGGCACATACTGGCCCACTTAGCATAAGATATCTCTCCTCATCAATAGTATCATTCAAAATAAAAATTTTTTTTTTTGCAACAGTGTGGATGGACCTAGAGAGTATTATGCTCAGTGAAATAAGTCAGACAGAGAAAGACAAATACGCTATGTTATCACTTACGTGTAGAATCTAAAAAATAAAATAAATATGTATAACAAAACAAAAGCAGACTTACAGATACAGAGAACAAACGAGTGGTTACCAGTGAAGAGAGGGAATGGGCGGGCAAGATAGGGGTAGGAGATTAAGAGGTACAAGCTACTATGTATAAGAATGTACAGCACAGGGAAATATAGCCATTGTCTTGTAATAACTTTAAATGGAGTATAATCTATAAAAATATTGACTCACTATTTGTAAACCTAAAACTAATATAATATTGGACATCAATTATACTTCGATTAAAAAAGACCCGCAAAAAATATTTTTATGGTCTTTATCACTTTGGTTCTCACTTTGCCCAGTTCCTTCACATAACACCTTCCTAAACCTTTGTCATGATAGTAGATGGGCTGGGAAACAGGGAAAGAAGAAAATATTCAAGAATCCATCTGCTCTAAACCTGAAAGCTAAAGCTTTTCTTTTTAAAATGTTGGGCCATATCCCATATGCAGGCGAACAGCAGTTCTGTTTAGTCTTATGCTAACCGGTGTGTGCCCCTCACCCCAGCTGGCATGGAACAGCAGCTTTCAGTAGGGAGGTACAATAAACCCCTTCTTTATTGTCTTCCTTGCGGACTCACTATGTTTAAGCCAAATACTCAAGTGCCCTTTACCATATACTTACTCAATGAAAAACAACTCAGTCAAGCTGATCCATAAGTAACTTATGGGACTCAGAAGCTTCTAGCAATTACCAACAGGGAACAGACAATTTCTCAAGGGCCTTTGTCTCTCTAGAGTCAAGGGACAACATCACGTATTATTTCTCACAGGCTTTTAGGAAACCTCTCGCTCACCGTCATCATCTTTATACTAACAAATGGCATTTTAGGATTCCTACTAAAAACATAAGAAAGCCCACAGCCCAGGTTCCCTAAGAAAGGAGATGCATTGCCTCACCCCCCTGCCAAAAGGCTGATTTTTTTTTGTGGGGGGGGGGGGTGCGTTCCAGAGGAAACCTTCCCTTATCTGGCTTCAAAAAGGTCAGTCATAGTCATCACAACCTGAGTCCCAAAGAGGCATGAGGAAAATGAGGCATAACAGGTACCGGAAGGAAGAGACAGAGCAGAGAGATGCCTATGCCTCTCACTCACCAAGGCTGAGAAAAGTAATGCCCTTTGTCACACGTGAGTCAACACGCCCAAGAGTAGCAGTGAAGGTCTTGCCGTGCCCTGTGGAGAGAGAACGTGAAGCCAGAGAAAGGATGTTAAGAAACAAAGAGCTGGAATTCCACCCAAGGCAGTGACTCCATGTCATACTCTCCGCATTTAGTAACTGTGAAACTGACAAAGCAAGTGTCTTTGGAGCCCTAGAGCTCATGGTTCCCTATCATTCTCCAAAAATCAGCATTGAAGGCGGATCACCTGAGTGCAGTCACAAGCCAGTAGTTGTTCTGGGCTTAAGTATAAACTTAGACCTTAAAAGGTGGGTTGTGCTGGGATAGAAGGACCTGAAGAAATCTACTTAAGGATCCAAGAGGTGGAGACCAGGTGGCTCATTGGCCCTCGTGCCTCAAGGTTCACTGCCACACTCTTGCAGTCATTAAGGCCCTCAGAGACTTCTCTGAATCACTTAGGAATCTCACTGTGACTCAGAAAGGGTGTTAGGCTATCTACTAAGGGCTTCACTCTCCACTCTTCTAACTCTTAATCATGGTTATTAGCTCTTAATAAAACTTTCAGAAAAGTTTTATTTTCTGGCTTTAATCATTAGATTAATCATTAGAAAAATGTATGAAAACGTTCCACAAATATCAGACTTGTACTATTAAAGCATAGATATAGGTCTTCTGAATTTACTTTTACTTTCTTCGTTATTAAGTTATTCAACTCTTTTACTTTAATCTCTAACTTCTGAAGGTACTATTAGGCACTCCTGAAGAATAAACTCTGGTGTGACCTGGCATAAATTTTTTTTTTATTTTGAAAATTCTAATTTTAACTCTACCCACAGTATGTACTATATAAATACTAATTTTAAGGAACTAAACAAGCGAAATAAATACTCTTTAGTATGGTTCAGGCTAAAACTATTAAAGGGCACTCTGTGACCAACTACAGAGCTAGAAAAGTTTGGGCACTTTACTCCTGTCCCCAAGGCTGACTGTTGACATATCAATTTCCTGGGCCACAGATGTATGAAATGAAATAAATGTATCTTAGGTCTAAGACCTGTTAAGGACCGAGACCACAGAAGCTTTTCAACTAAAACCCTATGTACCTTTGTAAGTTAAATCTATTGGTACCTTTCAGTTAGTAATAATAAAAAATCAAACACACACACTTTGGGCAAATACATCCCTTAGCATTGGTCTACAGGCTTAGAAAAAAGACACAGGTCAAGAAAAAAATGTATTACAAAATATTATTTTAAATGTAATTTAAAAATAATGAGCTCACTTAATATTCATCATTCATGAATTTCTTCAGGAAATATGTATTATATAGGTATACAGATATACAATGTACTGATTGAATTTGTTACAAGGTAATAAGACTTTAAAGTCTATCTACTTTGCTGCTATTTGGAAAAAATGACTATGTAAAAGTAAAAAAATAAATGAAAAGTACCTTTATGAAAGTAAAGCACTGAATACGTGATTTGCTCCCAAGAGTCAAAGTTCGGGCAGTAACATACACACAAACTTCCTAGAAGGAAGAAGGTATTTAGTAAAACTTAAAAGAATCGTAGACAAATAGAAAGTTTCCTAAGCCACTTAACCTTGCTGCCATTCCTTTAGATGTTCTGCCTCAATTTACCTCATAGATTATTCCCAAATTCTAGAAATGGACTATTAACAAGTTGCTAAGAAATTTCAATTCAACAATTACTCAGCACACACTATAAGCAATTTACTGTGGTAGGTTACTGAAGGCTAGGAAAATGGAGAGAGAGAGATTTCTGTATATGAAATCACAGGAACCTAGAGAAGTTTACAAAGCTTCATGAGATTCTCCTTACATACATATACTCCCCTGTGCCCTTTTGTAGCTTGCTTTCCAGCCATTGCTAATAGCTATGGACCTCAGGTTATCAAAAATGTGTCTCCTATTTACAGAAAGTTTCCAGAGTTCTTCTTTATCTAGAATGGAAAGCAAACTGGGGCAACAAGAGCAAGTGTGGTGTGTGTGCCTGTCCCCATCCATATTTGGGTCACTGAGGAGAGCTCCTGGCATAGAGTGGCCTTTCCAGATGAGCCCTGACCACACTCACTCAGCCCACCACTCCAGAACAACCTCAGCCTTTCCACCTGCTTCAATGTGTAAAACTGTCCATCACCTCTAGCAGCTGTCGCCACCTGGACAGACTAGGTAAGTCCATCAATGACCTACAAATGAGGGCATTATGCTTAAACTGATACTTCTATTCTAATGCTAGCATTTATGTGATCACCTGAAATAGGAGATTTCCAGGGTGGAAAGGAACTTGACAAGGAGCCTGGAAACCTGGGTTCTAGTCCCAGAGGGAATATTAACTAGCTGTGTGAATTCAATCATTATTCTACTCAGTGAATTGCAATATTTCCTCTACCATACTCCATTAGAGTTCCTTTATCAAAAATCATGGTAGGAAAAAAAAGGCCCATTTTCCCTAAGAAGACTATTTAAGGACATGTTTAAGCATTTCATTATAATATTTATCCTTTGTGACTCTTTTAATGACTTTTAAGACTGCCATATATTGTTAGAAATTCATTTCATTGCAATATTTTCAACAGAAAACAACAAAAAAGAATAACTTTATCAGACAAAAAAGTAACAATTCTGTTAGATTTAAAATTACTGTTATGCTTAATGACCACACAATGATAATATCTTTTCTTTAAAATTACAGCAGACTCTTTAAGAATAAAATAATGCTATACTAAAGCAGATACAAAAATAGTAATTATAACAGATACAAAAGTCCTCGGTACCACTTTGACTACTTTTATACAGTAAACATACTACCAGCAAAAACCCTACTGGTTTATCCTGTTCTTTTACGTTCTATGATCACAGGCATTTTTAGCAAACGGAGTTAAAACTTCATCCTCTCTAGTAATAAAGAAACAAGAATTAAAACAAGCCACCACATTTTTCCTTTCAAATTAGTGAAGTTTTAAAAATGATAATCAATTCTGTCAATGGAGCAGTAGGAAGAACATTCTCAAATAATAGTAATGAAAGAGTGAACTAGTACAACCTCTCCGAAAAACTGTTTTGCTGAGGATTAAATATATTCACACCTGTTGACCCAGTAATTCTTCTTTTAGGAAACTACCCTGAGGAATGAACGTGAAATGTCAAAAATATAAGGAAGATCATAACCTCCATTCTAGCAAAATCCTCTGCACACCATCCTTTAGAGAATTGAGGTTATCATTTTTCTTGTTTTGAAGAAAGTTAAAGTGAGATGTAGATTAAACTAACCTAATTACATACACCAAGAGCCATATTCAGATCTCATAAGCAAATATCTCCAAATAGTTATGTTGTGGCTTAGTCCCCTCTCCCTATCCCAAAGGGGGAAAAAAAGACACAACAAGGGGAAATGGGCTGTGCACAGGCTCTGCAAAGCTGTCCCATCTCTAGAATTTTCTTTGATAATGGAAATGTTCGATATCTGTGCTGTCCAATATGGTAGCCACTAGCCACATGTGGCTACTGAGCACTTAAAGGATGGCTAATGTGACTGAGGAACTTCTTTTACATTTTATTTAATTTTAATAACTTAAATTTAAATAGCCACATGTGGCTAGTGGCTACCCTCTTGGACAGCATAGCTCTGGAGCACTGGTTCTTAACTCTGAAAGTACATTAAAATTACCTGGGCCCACAGATGCCTAGGCTCCACCTGAGATCAACTAAATCAGAATCTCTGGGGTGAGATTCAGGCATCAGTATTTTTTAAATTTGCCTGAGTCATATTAATTAAATTCTCTAAGCCTCAGTTTCCTCAGTTGTAAATAAGGAAAACATAGAACCTCCTTCGTATGGTTCTGATGTGAGTGTTAAATGAGGTAATATGTATAAAGCTCTGGCAAAGAAGTTATAGCTGGTCATAAAGGTTAGCTGCTTTATTATTATTATTTCAGAATAATTTTGCCGCTATTTACAAGTTGGGGGAAGTCAGAGTTTGAAAAAACAAAGCAAGCTCTTAATGGCGTATCCAGAGATGTGTAATGAATATTCATCAATGATGAAGATAACATCTCAAAGCTGGCTAGCCTGGGGGAAACCATTTGGACAATGAAAGCTATTATGGACAAAGTTTTCCAAGGGAAATTATCTCATTGTAAAAGGCTCTATAAAATGCTAAAACACAGGCCTAATTCTGGGAACTTGTGAAGGGCAACTCTTGCAATTATATGTACAGGAAGGAGAAGTTACACTTTTCACCCCTCACTACCTCCCAGTAGGTGGTGCACAAGAAAGAATTACAGCCACCATGGAGTTAGAACACACAGGAGAACTCGAAGTACAGCTTCAGGGTTGACTATTGGATAGGGAGTGTATTTTCTTTCCTTCAATTCTTTAGGAGGTCCCTGATTTGTAAAAAATTTATTAGAAAAATCTATACAAACTCATAATGTTAATACGTAAGTGTCCTGACATTGGCAGAGCACTTTTGCCTATCACCAACTCTCATGAGCAGCCTCCAGATTTTAACCTCTGACTCCCTGGAAGGTAGCAGATATCATTTCTTAGGGCAGGAAAATTCAGGACAAAGATGCTTTCAAGAATGTAAAAAGTAATGCTGAAAGGACAAAGTAGCTCCCAATGACCAACATGTGACAACTGAACATCCAATGTTATTACAACATCAGCATTAATGTAAATAGTTGAAATAAGTTGAGTTTGTGAAAAGCTCTGAGTCTACCTATATTTTTTTCATGAACCATGTTTTCTGTTCTTCACACCAGTGGAAAATTAAGCTCCCTATTATAGAGGGAGCCATATAGGGATTAGACTATTTGCTCTCTTCTCCATTCCTACTTTGCTGAAGTAGGTTTGTTTTAACAACAAAGGTTAAAAAGTTATTTCTGAAAAGTAATTTGGGAAATACATGAACTGACAACTTCTTAGTTGAAAAGCAAAAGGGTGCTTCTCTGGTTTATTTCATTGTAAATCTGGAAGCATCCCATTTGAAACAGGTTTATTTTTTCTATTTCAAAGCTGACTACGAAAAGCAAGGCTCATTTGCTATTCTCCTAGATGTTGCTGAGAAAGGAAAAAACACTCTTTCACATCTCGTGCCGGATTAACCTAACATTTTATTTCTTAAGATATGTCATAGATAGCCTATTTATAAGCTGCTACTGTTCATGAGAAATTCCTATGGGAATAAACTAAGAAGGCATAAAAGCTTCATAGAATAAAAGCCTAAAATGATTATTTATATCCAACAGATTTAAAGCCAAGTACAAAGTAGTCAAGTACTAGCCTGGTCCCACCACATGAGCTCTGGATCCCATTACATCCCACCTTCTAAGCAAATTTGTTCTACTGGTCATTCCTCTCTGCTGTGTATTGTCATCTTTTCTTTTCCACTAAATATCCCGTAAGCATTCAAACATACTAGAGTCCCTACTGTCTCAAAAAATGATATTCCCTAAATTCCATTTTGCCTTTCAGCTGCTGCCTCTCTCATGCCTGCACATGCTGCTAAAATTTTTCAACTCCCACATGACACTTAACCCATCACAATCAAGATTTCACCTCAGTCACCCAGCACAAACTACTCACAGTAACCTTCATGAAGCTATACCCAATGGACTCCACCTCTCACCACCTACTAACAGTCACTCTCTTTTATGAAACTCGCTCTGCCCTTGGCTGTTATAACACCTCACTTGGTTTTCCTCTTCTCTCCCCATACTTTTTCCTTTTTCTTTGGATGTTCCACCTAACTTTTATATATTTTTGCTCCCAGATCTAATTCCTAAACCTCTTCCCTTTTGACCCTTTACCCTTCCCACAGCTTCAAATCCCAGCTATGGTCTAACAACTTCCACACTTATTCATCTCCAGTCCCGACTCCCCTTCTAAGCTCCAGGTCTCTTAGTTAACGTGTCCAAAACAAAACTCACGATCTCCCTTCCTAAGCCCCACCAAAACCACCGTACCTCAGTAAACGGCACCGCTATTGACCCATCTGCTTGTGCCAGAAACTTGAGAACCATTCCTCTTCATCTAGTTCACAGCGAGTCTCCTCAGTTCCATCTCCAAAATTCATCACAAACCCACCTAGTTCTCTCTACCTCTACTGCCCATCCCAGATCAAGCCTCATCTTAAATATATGACTATACCTTATCCTAACTGCTCATCTCCCCACTTTTTCTCTTGTGCCCTCTGAACTATTCTTCACACAGCAGCCACAGTGATCTTTTCAAAATACACATCTAATCATGTCACTACCCAATTAGAACACTTCAGAGAAGGACCGTCAATGGACCCTAAAACCACCAGATGAAAAGTTGTTGGGGAATAGGATAGTAATTTAATGCCAAAGTATCACCTCACAGATTACTAACGCAAAGGTTGAAATGTACCTTTACAAGGGAGACAGGCAGTGGTTACCACTTAACCAAATGACCAAACTTAGTGTCAGTAACAGTAGGACATCCTTACATTATACGTTTCCTGATCTGGTGCAAATAAAGTTCACAACATCACCTATGAAATATTCTTACCAAAAATGTTTAACCTATGTCTAACAACGCCTTTAGGCCTAACTTCCAACTTACAGAAAATGTAAAGGAAAGAGAAAGAAGTTAAATCCTTTCACAAAGAAACAATTAGACAAATCCAGAATGTGAGATATTCCACAAGGCAAATAGTCTGGACTCTTCAAAATGTCAATGTTGTGAAAAGAGAAAAAGAGGGACAGAAGATAGGAGGTGGGAATCGGTCTACATTACGATACTGCAAAGACAAAACAACCAAATGTAACGCATGAATCTTTTAAAAGTTATATGCGTACACGTATCTATTCATGTATATGCATACACATATATACATACACGTGAAAAGGACTTTTTAAAAAACAATTATGGAAATTTGAATATGAAATAGTTTACTAATTAACGTAGCTAATTTCTTTCAGTGATAATGGAAATGAGATTATGTAAGAGTATCCTTAACCTAAGGTGATACATGCTGAATTATTTAGTGGTAAAGTATCATGGTGGCTGCAACTTACTTTAAAGATTTAGTCAAAAAGAAAAAAATGCTACCTATTTAAGAGGAGAATGATAAAGCAAATGATAAAGCATTGTGAATGATATGACTATTTAAGTAAAAGGTACATGGATATTCATTATATTCTTGAACTTTTCTGTACAATTGAGCACTCTCAAAATAAAAGGTCGTCATAAGGGAAAAAAAAAAAAAAAACTTTAATGACCTTATGACCCTTAAGATAAAACCTAAAGCCCTTCCATGGTCTGCAAGGCCCTAGACAACCTGGCCCCTGCCCACCTCTTCAACGCTCTCGCGATACTCTCCCTCTTGCTCACTCTACTTCAGTCACCCTGTTCTTAGTTCACATTCATCCTTCAAGTCTCAAAGGAAATATCATGTCCTGCCCTAAACTCCCCAAGACTTGTTTATAGAGGGACTTACAAGGCTGAGGGAGACCCTGGATGGACAGAAAAACTATAGGATGGATTTTGAAGGAGTGAGGTGGTAAAGGAAGCAATTTTCAGTTTTCATTCTGTAAAATGAAATGTACTGGCTGGACTAGAACATATCTGAAGATATTAGTAGCTTCCATTAAACATCTGTTATATGTTCTCACGGCTTCCTGTAGTTCTCATTCATAAAATGTATTCAAATACTACGTGGGCACTTATTTAACGTCTAACATCCATACTGAATAGTAACGCTCTACTAAAAAAGGTTTAGGTCAGTTTTGCTCACCATTGTATCCCCAATACGCAGCACACAGTAAGTGCTCCATAACTGTCAGCTCAATGAATACCACATAATTTGGCTTTAAAGGAAAGCAATTTTAGTCTAAGCATTACTTAAGTGGTAACTGTCCACTCAAGTTGGGATGTTAAAGATGGCTATGAGATTTAGTTATTAGAGTTGATTATTTAGATGATTATTACGGTTAATGAGCAGTTTTTCCACCAGATTCATTGACTGTAATCATACTCCTCTCCAGTCATTTTCAGGCATTTTTTTTCCCTCTCTGTTTTCTCTATCTACAATAAACAGGTGTAAAGAGATGGAATATTGTACACTAACAACTTTATGTGAAGCTCTGACTGTCAGCTCAGGTTATAGCATGGCTCTTAAAGCAGCTAAGCACATAGGTTTAGAACCCAAACATCAGTAAGCCTGACACAAAAAGCATCCCGATCATCGTATGCCATTTGTTAAAAATGGAGCAGGTGAGAAAATGTAGCTTGATTAAATATGAATCTATCCCCTCTATTAGAACAATAATACAAAAACTAACTATTAGAACAATAATCTGACTGTGGCTTCTTTTATACAGACAGAAAATGTATAAAATTACAGTGGAGAATGTAATTTGGTATGTAAATATCCGTATAATCACTTATGTAAGAGTGTGGCCCTATTATATTTTATTTTCAAGATCAATATAGCTAAACAATGGCTAAATGTATGGAACTCAAGTATAATTAAGTAAATTGATAAATACAACCCAGTTCTACCTGTATGGTTGGTAAAAACACACAAGGTTGGGTGTTTGGATAATTTCTCTTGGTCTTGAAGATCATCATATCCAAAGTTGACAAGTCTAAGAACATAAATGCATTTACAAATAAGTTCCCTCATAAAGGACATAACCACTACAATTTACCCACAGAAGTAGAGACATGTCCTCAAGAAATTCCAGTAGATAATATGTCTTTTGGTTAAAAAAAAACAAACAAACTATGAAACAGTAATTTTTAAAAATACATGTTACATAAATGGCATGGCCTGGCAATAGAGAAAAATATATATATTCCTTTCAACTTACATTTTTATAATTTTTTTTGATTTTAGAGTAATGCCGACATGATGTTTCACAATGGACAGAAATGAACATTCATATATGATGAAATAAAGGTAGTGAAATATGTAACAGTTTGAGATTACCATTAATTCAAGAAGACTTTCATTTCTTCTGTGCAGTTATGGCCTTGTGTCTATTTTTTCAACAGTGTCTCATGTTTTTACTACATGTAAAATAATCTGGGGGAAAAAAACCTCGCCTTTTGTGTAAAAAGGAAAACAGGGAAAAAAAGTAAAGCAATAGACTCAGCTGAGCTATAAGTGGATTGACCTGCAATATCCTCTTTGATGGCAACAAGAAAAGGGTTTTGATGTTTGATTCTAAGCGTAGCTCTCTCTCTGACTCATCGAATGCTTTTATTGAATCACAGGGAGAATAGCACTTCCATAGATCAAAATAAATGGAGACGCCCTACAGAAATAGATGACTAAGAAAAATCAATATGATTGCCTTTCCATGCAAAAACCCTGTGTTCATGCTTGATAACACTGTTTATATTCCCTATAGAGAACAGAAACAGAAAAGATGACACCCACCCACACACCCACACACCCACACCCACACCCACACACAGAATATCAAACTATCCTTTTATCTGCATATCATAGATTAGGTATAAATATTATATAATCATTCTGCCCACAAGTGTCTATAAAAATTAATAGTAATCTATGAGTAACTTACTTGAATCCTGAATCACTTAATGATACATCCAAGGGTGCTTCAAACTGTCAAAAAATCAGGAGAAAACAAAGTGAAAAATGACATTAGTTAAGTGATGATAGTTCTGGAAACCAGTGCAAACCTGACAACACTGTGCTTGCCTAATGATGAAGAGCTCCTTTAACCAGCATTATCTTCAGAGGATATCCCCCAAGTCCACAGACAGAAAGTCCACTGGGAACATTCTGGAGTTTACATACATCACAAGCTTGATGTGTATTTATTTCTCAAAAGGCAAACTTTGCTTCAGATTTGACTACCATAAATGGGTTTTATAATAAGCCAATTGGAAGGAGTAGACTTTTACAAGACACAGATGATCACGTAAGGAGGGAAGGACTGGGTGTCTTTAGAAAGAGAATGAGTGAGTCCAAAAAAGGGGGTAGAAGGAGTAAATGAAATTCTTGTAATGCTATGATATCAATCTGTATTAGACACCAATATTTACCCTGGTCAAGAAGAATAATAATGTTCTGTCCATCACAGATAAAGATGTTTGCGACTCCTCACTACAAGGCTGGCACTCCAAACAGCTTTTCCAGGAGTGGTTCTAGATTTGTCCTGATTGAACTCTACCCTCTCATTGACCTTCTACCTTATACTCAATCCACCATCACATGTTCTTTTGGATCAAATGATGCATAATCACGTAAAGCTATCTACTATTAACCACACCTACTACCTCCCACTGATACTCTTACCCATTTTTCTTTAATATGAGGCATTCAGTTAGCAGAAATTTACTGTGTGTGCTCTTCTAATAATCTATATTAATTGCATTTGTTACAGAATTGAAGTCTTGAGATGGCAAGAACTATTTTACTTGCTCATACAAGTGACTAAAAAACAAGACCAAGAATGTTAAAATGCTGTTTATGATAATAGCTCTCTTTAAAAGGGGCAATAGGTTGTAAAATTTCCTTAGCCCAATCATTTTCTGGACTTACCATTAAGCTAAAGTGCTCACCAGCAGAAAACTGGATGCATTTTAAGACACTCCTTGATTTCTAAAAAAGAAAACAGAGTAAGTGACAAATTAACAAAAAATCAACAAAAACAATAGTTTAAAGAGAGAGAGGGCTTCCCTGGTGGCACAGTGGCTGAGAGTCCGCCTGCCGATGCAGGGGACGTGGGTTCGTGCCCCAGTCTGGGAGGATCACACATGCCGCGGAGCGGCTGGGCCCGTGAGCCACGGCCGCTGAGCCGGCGCGTCCGGAGCCTGTGCTCCGTGACGGGAGAGGCCACAACAGTGAGAGGCCCGTGTACCCCCACAAAAAAAAAAAAAGAGAGAGAAAAGGAAGCAGCCAAAAATCAAACAGTAAGGAAAACCTCTCCATTATTTTTCATCAACTTTTGTCGACTGCCCCATCAATGAAAACGAAGTAATTAATAAATTACAATAACGATAATGTCAAAATTAAACTACTCTCACAAAAAGGAGGGCCAGTGGTCTAGTTTTTACCTTCAGATCAATGTAGTATAACCTCTGCTCTGACATATCCCACTGAGCCCAAACAAAATCTTCGGCTACTCTCTGTCTTGGGAGATGGCCAGAATTTTTAATTACCTAAGGAGGCAAAGAGATTTTAGAAATAAATAACTATTTTAAAGGAGAACATATCTGGGTTTCATAATTATTTTGCTTATTCTATCTTTATAATACATGTAAATACTTCCACAGTTTATTTTTAGTAGCCCCTACCGCCAATACATACACATGGAAAGTCTTTCCAAAAAAGATTTAAGGCATCATTTCATTACTTGCTCCTCACAAACACTCTGCAATAAACTATCTTATTTTTATTCTTAGTTTGGCAGGCAGGCTGGGGCTGCTGAAGGCAAGGCCACACCTACCACAAACCAACAGCTGTGCTAACACAAGATTCAGAGCTTCCTGTTCTGGACATAACCCACTCAGGTATCTGCAGTCTGGAGGGCTTTACCACCAAAGGTAGAGACTGTTAGGCCAAGGGAAAACTCAGGCCTGGGAGAGGAGGGTTCTGGGCAATGATCCTAGATCTGCCATAAACTCTTCATGTGTCTTTGGTCATGCTTCTTACCTTCATGTCTTCCACAATGAGCATGATGATACTGCCCATCTCTCAGCAATACTTCACTATTCATCCTTCAAGACCCAACTTAGGCACTGCCTCCTGTAGAAATCCTTCCCTCCCCTCCCAAGATGAAGGCAAAGCTCCCCATCTCTGTATTCCTATGGTGCTTTGGCATGCTTCTATTACAATTACATTTTAATTAATATTATAAGTCTACCCCAGTGAGTATGCACTCTTCTACAACACCTTTACATTCTCAATGGCTTGATTGTTTCTAGCATGTAGAAGTACTCAAGGAATCCTTCTCAAAAGAAGGAAAGTGAAATAGGGTACGCAAGGGTAAATTGCCAAGGAAATGATAAGTGTAATACAAGGAATTAAGAACTCACTTTCCTCAAAACTGCTCATCAAGCAAAGGTGATCTATATTGGGACAGATGAGTAAATAATGAAGACAAGTTGATGTAGAAGAAATAAGGAAAAAAGAGAACATCAGAATGGTCCATAGTCATACTTCAACCTCTCTAATCCTAAATGGGATTTCTCCAATGAGGCTAACTTGGAACTCAAGGGAGGACAGGGCATGCAGAATCATACACCTCTATTTCTTGTTTGCCTAGTTCCATCAAATTTGCTGGAAAACGATCCAAGAGTACAGTACCTATCTGACTCTTAACTTTGGGGAACCCATCTTGTTTCCATTTTTCTGAAATTGTTTAGGTTAGGGTAGGTTTGGGAACTCTCAGATAAAGACCTATACTAGCAAGAACATGATCATCGGAACATGGCAACCAGGTTCACATAGCAGTTCTGTCCCTCTCTAGAGTTTCCTCACCTCTGTGAGTCTAGGTTGTCGTGTTCCCTGTAAACATGGGGATAATTATAATACCACCTCTAATGTGTAGGGATGTTGTGATGATTATGCAGACCTGCACATGGCTTTATGAAGCTGTAGATCATCTAAGCCTTTAAGAATGAGGGAGGGGGCTTCCCTGGTGGCACAGTGGTTGAGAGCCCGCCTGCCGATGTGGGGGACGCGGGTTCGTGACCCGGTCCGAGAGGATCCCACATGCCGCGGAGCGGCTGGGCCCGTGAGCCATGGCCGCTGAGCCTGCGCGTCCGGAGCCTGTGCTCCGCAACGGGAGAGGCCACAGCAGTGAGAGGCCCGCGTAAGGCAAAAAGAAAAAAAAAAAAGAATGAGGGCAGAAGTGCCTCACAGAAGGGCACATGTGGATGAGGGAGTGCTGAGACTGTATTGCTTGGCCAGGAGAATCCTTCCTGGGCTTCCGACAGGTGGCTCCAGGCCTCACTCTCTCTGCAGTGTCTCTCATGGCTCCCAAGCCTCTTCTAGCCAGCCAGTCCTCTGTCTGTGCCCATTTCCAGCGCCTGACCCCAGCTTGTTTATTTAACTCTCTCCTCTAAATTCTCATTGGGGCTTTGGGATTCTGCACCTTGGCCTTTCCTCTCTGGCCTGACCCTTTTCTGACGGCTGGCCTTGTCTTTGCCCTGCCGTCCGCTCAGCCGCTAGTGGCCCAGAGCTCCAGCCACATACTTTCTGGTCATTTTCCAGCCAGGCCTCTTGATTTGATGCTTTCAATCATAGATACATAATTTAAAAATGCCATCTCCCATTTCAATTTTGTTCACATAATTTAAAATTAAAATCAGAGAAAGACTATTTAGATGCAGACTATTTAAATATTGAAGGAAATCATTTTAATATCAATAATATATTAAGATCTCACACAAACTGTCAAGAAAAAGACAACCCAGGAAAAAATAGACAAGGATATAACTAAGCAATTCCCAGAAAAACAAATTCACATAGCCAATAAGCAAAGAAGATGCTCAACCTCATCAATATTAAGGGAAACACAACCTCGAACAATAATGATATCAACTTAAACGCATCAAACTGGATTTTTTAAAAGGCAAATACATTGATAACTGGTATGGATAGAGGGAAAGGGTACTTTCATACTTTGCTTGCAAAACTGAAGTGTTACAAGTTTTTTGGAAAGCAATCTGGCAAAATCTGTTGAAGTTTATTAAATGCATATAACCGTCAACCCACTTATCCTTCCCTGAGGATTTAACCCAAAGAAACACGTGTACCAAACATGTAAAGCTAAAAACATTTGAGACAATTTGTAATGCAAACAAATAAAAGGGGGAAAAAAGGCAATCAAGTGAATATCCATCCATGGGAGAACGGTGACAAAACTGTGCACATCCGTGCCAGGGACTATTTGTACTTCTAAAGACAATGAACTGAGCTACCCTAGGGTGCTTGTAGGTAATTCCACAGAGTTGAATGAGGAAGGAGTGAATAATAAACAAACCCCTGGGTGTGTCAGGGGTGGAGATGGGAGACATATAGGTATGGAGAAAACTGTGAAAGGATACACACCAAGTTGTGAACAAAAGTTAGAAGTGAAAAGGCAAGGGAGAAGTAGAAAACAAGCAAAAAAGAAAAGAAAACTGAACTATATAGAACCTTAGCATATATGCTATGATCCCGTTTATTTTGTGTATGTATGTGTATATATGTATAAAAATTAGAGAAAAAAGTTATCTCTCTATTTAGAAACCTATACGGATACCCCTGATATATTAAGTAAAAAGCAAAAACAAAAGCAGCAAATTAATATTTATATTATGATTCTATCTTGGTAAAAGCAACTGAATCCCAGTATCTGTACACCTAACCTTGAGCAAGGTACAAGGCATGGAAAAGGTCACACAAGGCTGTCATTAGTTATGTCAGGAGACTGAGATTGGGGGGTGAGGTAGATAGAAAGGAGATAATCAACTCCTTCATGTATCTTGTATTATTTCACATGTTACAACAGCAAGTCTATAATTGGAAAGACACCAAAATAAAGTAGTATGTTTCTATAACAATCCATCTTTAATAGTCTAGAAATGCCACTCTTTACGGGAAAAAACTCTAAAGCGAAAGGAATTTCAAATATTTACCACTCTATTTCCATCTTCTTGGGTAACTTGGATATGAAGTTGTTCAATATCTTTTAAAAAAGAAACAATAGTTTAACCTTCATGAAAAATATGAGTACTTTTTTTCACCTAACAGTTGTGAACATTTTTTTATAAAAGCAAAGCAGATTAAACAACTGGCTGAAAAACAGTGTTATCACAGATGGCAATCTCACAAGGCTCAAAACAAAACCCACCTTTCTCCACCCTCCCTTTAAGTCTGTTTCAAGTCCAGCATTTACTCTGCTCCTCAGTATCAACAATACATGAAGCATTTAACTCTTCTGCTCCCCTGGGTTCCCTTAACAAGTATTTCCCTCCCCTATACCATCAGTCTTACATAGGGCTAATAAGGGCTCATTTGGCAGGGTTTATCTTCAATTTCCAAATACCCAATACCTCTTTATATGAAAACATCAGATAGAAAACTCATTATGCCAGATATTAGGGGGAGGTATTTTTATAGGGGTCATTAACAGAACTCTGAACACTTTATTGATGTGCAGATGGTCTATTTTTCTCAGTAAACGATTTAGATTCAGCCATATGTACCTTCTGCTGGTTCTAGTTACAGAAATGTGAGACAGATTATTGGGCAAGAGTATAGGAAGTGAACACAATCCTAACCCCTCAGACTTGTCCTTCTAATTATAAATCAGCACTTTCACCTTATAACATGAAAGACAGCTTACCAGATAAGATACACCAGTGAATTTTGTCCTTTCTCCACCCTTCCCCCGACTTGAAATCATCATTAAAGGATGTCCCAATCTTATCTGCCTCTATCTAATTTGACCAAGTTAGTAAGTGTCCTCGAGTTCCGCCATGGAATTCTTCTAGCTTCTAATGCCTTTCCCTCTGTCCATCCAAGCCTCTCTCCTTAAATCATGGTTATCCACTGTGACAGACATCTTAAAGAAGGATGGACCAAAGAAGGCAAAAATGACCTGCACAACTGTTCTACAAATATTCTACCATGTGCCCAAACTGGAAATCCATATATGCAGGAGCCCATCATATACTGAGGCAGAGCCTAAGAGAACAACAAGGAGAAACAGAAGGAAAGCCCTTCCACAGGAGTCCTAGGTCTCCAATGGACATCAAAGGTCAGTGGACCCTCAGCACTGGCGAGTGGACAGCTAGAAGATTCATCACGCCCTTCCTACGCTTCACTGGGAGATGCACCGTTCATGAAGTCCTCAGGATATACTTACATTTCTCTTCTGAAATCAGTAGCAGATGATTCTCTGGTAGCGGGTGACCTTCAACATGTGGGTAGAGGAACTGTAAAAAGGAAATTGATCAAAATCATAAGCAACTACCTTGCTTACACAATTATTTCAAAAGTTGTGTTTGATCACTGTACTACTACAGACCACAGAAGGGACTGGGAACCACAGAATAGTTTAGGCGAATCACATTCACACACACACATTACAGATGGAAGCAAGGAAGAAAAGGGAACGCTTTCAGGAGCTCCGTTTTCCAGCGGGGGATTGATCACAGGTCCAACACAATTCATTTAGACAGGCTAAAGTGTAAGCCGTTTCTAGGGATGGTGCTTCCTATTTGGCATATGGGATTCGGAAGCCAATCAGAAACAATGTAAATAACATTTGTACAGAAAGTTCTGTTTCACACGCACCAAAACAGAGTGACTGATATAATTTGTTGTGCAGCTAACCCTAGTATTTAATTTGAGAGCCAAGTAAATGTACTCTCCGTGACAACTTCCAAAGTCCCACATCCAAGAGAAAAAGCAAAACAGAACCAGGGACTTTCCAGGAAAGGATAGTGAATCACAGTGTGGCAACTGGTGGAGGATTCACCTCAAAGCACAGAACGACTGCCACTGGGAAGAAAAGGCTTGATCCCCCCCGATGCCTCCTCCTCTGCGCCCACCCTTATTTGTCAGCCCACAGGACAAAGCAGGCAGCCAGAAACACAAGGCCTGACACTGTCAGCTGTGATAATGAGGGAAAACTGGCCATGGGATAACTCCAGTGACTTAATTCTTTCATCATCAAAAGGGTAACTATAAATCAGCACTTTCATTTTGCAACATGAAAGACAGCTTACTAGATAAGATCCACTGGCGAATTTTGGGTTTTCCCTCCAAACTTTAAAGCATACTGAAAGAACATAACTTTTCATGTCCCTGTTTTAAAGCCTGCAGCCTCTCTAAAGACTAGGAAAAATTTTGACAAAATATATTACCTGGTGTCCTAACTTTTCATAATGACAAATTAGAAATAGAACTTGTCAACTTTTTAAAAAATTAATTAATTTATTTTTATTTTTTGGCTGCACCATGCGGGATCTTAGTTCCCGGACCACGGATCGAACCTCTGCCCCCTGCAGTGGAAGGGTGGAGCCTTAACCACTGGACCACCAGGGAAGTCCCTAGAACTGGTCAACTTTTACAATTGCTTACAGTCAAGTTTCCCTTTCAGAAAAACAAAACTTTAACTATATACCATTCTTCACAGCAAAAAGCTCAAAACTGTAAAATAGACAGGAATGCAGAATTCAGCTATGAGAATAATATAGACCTTATTACCTGCTGATTTGTGAAATTGTGCACATCAAAAAGGATACTTTGGGGACCTCTCTGGCAGTCCAGTGGTTAAGACTTTGCCTTTCAATGCAGGGGGTGTGGGTTCAATCCCTGGCCGGGGAGCTAAGATCCCACATGCCTCTTGGCCAAAGAACCAAAACATAAAACAGAAGCAATATTGTAACAAATTCAATAAAGACTTTAAAAATGGTCCACATCAAAAAAAAAATCTTAAAAAAAAAAAAGGATACTTTGTGTACTGGGGTTGAGGAGAAGCAATGATGAGTGACACCACATAGATAATGGAAGAGCAAACACTCAGTGCCTCAAAATAAGGAGAAACTGCAGATTTGGCCTCCCCTGGGTCTACAGAGGTGGCCAGGCCCTGCTGCCTTAGCTCTGTGACCTGGACTAAGGTGCTGACCAGTTCTAAACCTTTGCCTGGTCTCTGTGAGGCAATCAGTGAAAATGTAATTTTAAAAGTTCCATTCAGGTGGTGGTTGTTTTTCTTTCTAATTTGAGGCAACCCTGAAGCAAGGCCTAGAAGTGAGAATATACATAGACAGGGTTCAGACAGAGCTCTACAAAAGTGTGCAACATTTTTGGGGGTTTTGTTTTGTTTTGTCTGCATTGTGAGTAGGAATCTATATAGATTAGATTATATCATATTAGAAAAATATTTATCTTGTAAATATCGAGCTAGACTCTGATTATTAATATTGGTCGATGGAAGGTATGTACTACAGGCATGTAGACGAATGTGTAATTACCCAATGGAACTATCTGGAAGATGCAATCATGCTGGTGGGGAACTCTCCAAGGATCCCAGATTGGGATCCAGACCCCACTCACTACTGTCTTGCTGAAGTTCCTCCATGAAGGGGGTCAAAGCTGCACGTGTAGACTTAGGGAAATGTACTACTGGAAATCATCACGGACGTTCTGGTAAGAAAAAGGAGAGAGATCGCAGGGCAGGACCAAACTCCATGGACAGTGAACAGCGTTTCTCTAAAGCAGAGCAGAAGGGAGAGAGGAAGAAGGTGGGGATTTGCCATGGATGGAGGTTTGGAGGAGTTTCTCTCTCCAGAGGCCTAAGCCTGAGGAGCAGGGAGCAGGGCTAGGAACTGAGATGGGCCCACAAGATTAGTGTGGGTCTGCTTCATGTGGGTGGGGACTTTGCTTTTGGCCTACAGATGACATCATGCATCCTGTACTTTTAATTTTTTTTAATTAAGATAAAATGCACATAACACAACATTCACTATTCACAATTTTCACTATTAAGTATACAATTCAGTAATTTTTAATATATTCACAATGTAGTGCAACCATATACTTATAAAACTTTTTCCTTCCTATACTCTAATTACCTTTTAGTTGTCCTCATCCTTCAATGATATCTCCACTGCCTACACAGCCCTGGATAAAAATGCTAAGGAAACCAAAGTAACAGGCCAGGAAAGGGAAGTGTCCCACAGTCAGCCCTGCACTGATGACAACGTAAACAGGGTGGCTTCCTGGGGGAGGGAACGCAGCTTAGGAGCTCCACACCAGGCCCTGTCTGGCAGGCAGCAGCGGCCCACAGAGACGCCAGGAGTGGTGGCGAAATGCACCACTGTAAGGACTGGCTGACAGTGGACGACTGGGCACACGAGAGACAGTCCCCTCTCCCAACACACACTGCAAGAGGGAGACCCACAGCCAGAGGCTGGGAGTGGGTGGGGGGAGGGAGAGGCTATACAAGGCAATTGTGCCTCAACCCTGCATGAATATGGATAGTTGATTCTCGTTCTCTGCGGCAGTTATGTTCCATAAAGTCACCAAAAACACTGAAAACTGAACCACTGCTCCCAAGGGAAATACAGGGATAGGAACGTGTGAGCCTCTAGTTACAACATTTTTGACAACAAATTAAAACAAAACTTGGTCTAATGTGTGTTCCTGTTTAAAAGACACTTTATTTCATATATGCTGTTGATTCGCTAGCACTGAACTCAGTCAACAGTACTATAAGCTAATGTCTAAATGAAGTTTATCTAATTAACACACGTGTTCTCTGAAAAGAATAGCGCAGCCTTCTTGCACTTAGGAGCATGAGACAGCACCTCAACAAGGCACTTGGGGGACATTTTAAACAGCAAAATCACCAAGAAAAGCCAAAGAGTGTGAAAAACATGGCACTAAGTTGACTGTGAAAACAACCTTTGTTTGCAGTCTGAGAACTGAATCAAGAAGGCAGTGTCACCTTGTTCTACCTCATCTGGGAACATGTGCATCGGGTGAAAATTTTTTCACTGCTTTGCCCCTGTCTGCAAATGGCTGTGAAAGCACCATGAGTATTGATTTTGGGGTAACAAATAAATTTTAGTGGGTAGTAGAATTTGCAAATTCTATGTGCAAGTAATGAGAATCGACTATATCTAGTCTACTTGTGTTATACGCACAGTGCTTCTGCATCGATTCATAGAGTTGATAAATTCAGGGATTAATTATATCATTTAATCATAGGTATTTAATCTGTCAACTCTATGAACACATTAGATAAACCATTTTTAAACTTCCTTTAAATGTGTTTTGATATTCTATATTTTATCATGTAAAAACATTATAGTACTATTAGACAAACCATGATATAATAGAGACAGAGAGCTAGGTTTGAGTTTTGATTTTCATGTTTGCAAAGGAAAAGCTGTTAATTCCAGCCATACTCATTCACTGGATTGCTTTGAGGAAAATGTGATAATGTGTGTGAAAGCACTTTGTAACACCACTGCCTATAGGTTTCATGCTTTTTGATTAATGAGATAAATGATAAAGATATGCTCACTTACCTGTACCCAAATATAGCTATCCACTGCTTTTAGAACCTTCACATTGTTAATGGGGTGGATCTCGACCAACAAAGTTAAGCACCTTGAACCTATAATGTAAAGGTCGCTTTTAGTAGCAAAGTCCAGAATATCACAAATTATCTCCTCCACATAGGTCTGAACTTTGGAAATGTAAAATGTATTACTTACTGTATTAGCTACTCCACAAACAAAAGTATTTGTCTTAAAATTGACTTTGAGACTTCTTAAAACCCAAACTTTGAGACTTCTTAAAACTTAAAGAAAACATCATTGGACTTCCCTGGTGGCGCAGTGGTTAAGAATCCGCCTGCCAATGCAGGGGACACGGGTTCGAGCCCTGGTCTGGGAAGATCCCACATGCCGCGGAGCAACTAAGCCCGTGCACCACAACTACTGAGCCTGTGCTCTAGAGCCCGCAAGCCACAACTACTGAGCCTGCATGCCACAACTACTGAAGCCCACACGCCTAGAGCCCGTGCTCCACAAGAGAAGCCACCGCACTGAGAAGCTCGTTTGCCGCAACTAGAGAAAGCCCATGCACAGCAACGAAGACCCAACGCAGCTAAAAATAAAAATTAAATTAAATTAATTAAAAATATATATATATCATAAAGGAGAAGTCAATGTACACGGAATGAGGAACAAGTTCCTACCCATTCCTCAGCCATTTTACCATCACTTCACTGGCCCTCTCAGCTTCTAAGTCTAAACAAATACAACTCAGTTCAGTGTCACTGCAATTCTGCAGCACAGTGGCAAATGTTGTTTGCGTAGGAAAATATAAAGATATTTCTGATGCATGAATGTGTTAACGGTTGACAGCAATTAGGACAGGGGCTTGGCCTCCCTCAGGAAGGGTTGCAGAGCTTCATGCATAAAGACTCACTTATTTCCTCAGTGCCACATCTGAGCTAATGTCATAAAAGAGAGCAATTAGGAGGAAGTGTTGGACACAGGCTAGAATGGGGATATCCAAATTTAGGCCAAACGTTCCCCTTCTCAGAAAAGGAGTTGCCTTATATTTGAGTCCTTATAAAGACTAATATTCTCAGGTGCTTTCTCAGTGACTTTATTTATTTTTTTTTCATATGCATAAAACTTTATTTTTAAGTCTGGTGAAAGCCAACACATTGTCATTTATTTTTTATTTGAATTTTATTTTATTTATTTTTATACAACAGGTTCTTATTAGTTATCTATTTTATACATATTAGTGTATATATGTCAATGGCACTCTCCCAGTTCATCCCACCACCCCACCCCCGCTTGGTGCCCATACGTTTGTTCTCTACATCTGCGTCTCTATTTCTGCCTTGCAAACTGGTTCACCTGTACCACTTTTCTACATTCCACATATATGCATTAGTATGAGATATTTGTTTTTCTCTTTCTGACTTGGTGACTTTATTTTGAATAATAATTTACAATTTGGGGATGGTGCAGCAGCCTGGAATTGAATCAGTACCAGTTTTCACTATTTTCACTATTTAAGAAAGTAACCTAACAGCACTGCTTTATGTTAAGAAAAAGAAAAAAAAAAGGCAAAGAATATAAAACAATTTCTGGGATATTGCCTCACAATTTTGAGGACTGGATATCTCTGTAAACACACCTTTTTAGAGATTACTAAAAAAGCAAAGCAGTGAGTGAGTTATTATGTGGGATCACAAATACACAATGACAGAACAAATGAAAAACACATATTGCTTGGCTGACGGGTACTTGTAGCTTAGAATAAAAATCCAGTGACAGGATCATTCACAATTCAAAGGGGCTATATTTCTAATAACTGGGACAAGGTAAAGGTGAGGTATTTTGGGAATCTGCTTGATGACTCAAAAAATGGCTCTAAGAATAAGAGAGAGATTGGTGTCAAAGATACTTGTGGAAAAAAATAGAATAAAAATGTTCTGTGAGAATGAGAAAAAAAGTAATTTTCCTTATTATGTTGTTTTAAGTGTATATAACTAGTTTAACATAGTAAATAGTAGAAGCTGATATTTGACTGTTTCATCTCTTGCCCTAAAAGCTTTTGGGGGAAAAAGATTTCTGGGGGGCAGGCAAGGGAATCGTCTCATTGGAAAAATAAGGAATCACTTTCTACTTGGCCTTTTTGTCAGTGAATCTGTTCCCAGATGAGATAACCAGCTATCAGCTAAATGCACTTGCCTTTAAAATGGGAGGATTATCAAGGTCAAAAACCATCTTCCTACACTAATTTTTTCCTTCTTTGGGGCAGCCCAGATACTTAACTAATAAAAGTAGTTTAACGATAAGAGTAATTGTGCAAACAGGAATGTCTCTCAATAACATACCATGTGATTCCATAGTGTAACAGCAAGCACTCTGGATTAGGATTCTAGAGACATCAGTTCTAGTTTAAAATCTGCCACTAACCTAATATATACTTTTCAGCACATCATGAAGCTTTCCTAGGCCTTAGTGCTTTGGGGGCTTTTGTTGTTGTTGTTTTTGGCTGCACCAATGTGTGGCCTGCGGGATCTCAGTTCCCTGACCAGGGATCGAACCCAGGCCCTGGCAGTGAAAGCACCAAGTCCTAACCACTGGACCGTCAGGGAATTCCCAGTGCTTTTTTACAAAATAAAGTGGAAAACTACAGAATCAGATGATTTCTACAATCATTTTCATCCATAAAATGTGCTGATTCCATGAAGTGCTTAAAGTTGTCTCAAGAATTCAGAGAATCCAGTTATCAATGGAAACTGGGAGGGCATCACTGAAGGGCCAGATAGGTCCAGGCACGGGAAGGAGAGCGGCAGGATCAAAAGGGACAACATGGGGCTTCCCTGGTGGCGCAGTGGTTGAGAGTCCGCCTGCCGATGCAGGGGACACGGGTTCGTGCCCCGATCTGGGAAGATCCCACATGCCGCCGAGCGGCTGGGCCCGTGAGCCACAGCCCCTGAGCCTGCGCGTCCGGAGGCTGTGCTCCGCAACGGGAGAGGCCACAACAGTGAGAGGCCCGCATACCGCAAAAAAAAAAAAAAAAAAAAAAGGGACAACATGGATGGACCTCAAGGGTACTATGCTAAGTGAAGTAAGTCAAACGAGAACGAAATCACGCCATTTGCAGCAACATGGTTGGACCCAGAGATTATCGTATTAAGTGAAGTAGGTCAGACAGAGAAAGACAAACATATGATATCACTTATATGTGAAATCTAAAAAAATGATACAAATGAACTTATTTACAGAAAAGAAACAGACTCACAGACAGAAAACAAACTTACGGTTACCAGAGGGGAAGGAGCTGGGGAGGGATAAATTAGGAATTTGGGATTAACAGATACATACTACTACATATAAAATAGATAAACAACAAGGTCTTAGTGTACAGCACAGGGAACTATATTCAATACCTTGTAATAACCTTGTATAAAGGAAAAGAATCCGAAAAAATACTATTATGTATAACTGAATCACTTTGCTGTACACCAGAAACTGACACAACGTTGTAAGTCAACTTTACTTTAATAAAAGACAAATACCGTATGATCTCTCTTATACGTGGAATCAAAAAAACCAAACCAAACCAAAACCAAAACCAAAACCAAGCTTATAGAGACAGAGAACGGACTGGTGGTTGCAGGAGGTGGGGGTAGAGGAGGGGTGGGGAGAAATGGATGAACATTTTTGTTTTGTTTTGTTTAAAGTGAATTTTAAAAAAAATTTTTTAAAGCACAGGAAAAGGCATGGCATTGGGAGGATGAAGAGTGAGCAAAAGAAAGAACCTGGTCTGATGCAGGTGAAGGTACATGTTGTGAAATGGTGACAAAGTTGGAAGAGTCCAGTAGAATCTGGCTGTGAAGAAGCTCTGGTTATTAGAGCTCTGAAATCAAAGCACCTGCTGTACCTTGGGGCAAACATAACTCCACCGGGGAGAGTGAAAGGGGCACCTAAGCCTGGCCCCTGTGGAAGGCCATTTTCTAAATAAAACATTAAGTCTGCCACAGCCTCAGCCAATAAGAGAAGCACTGTTGACAAAAACCTTACTGTAAAGTATGTAGACCAAGGAACCCTATCTTGCTCATATGAGAGATGTTACAGTTTGTCTCATTTGCAATGGAAAAATCTCATTATAAGCAACAGAGTGTTAATACCTTGAGCCAAACTACATTTTATAATCAAATGGCTTATCAGGTTATTCAGGGACAGATAAGTCTTTGCAAAAGGCAAAACATTTGCAAAATATTTGTTCAAAGGACAAATCATTACAATAGATCCTATAGGTCTTTCTGGTCACATAATTTCTGAAATCTTAACTGAACAAAAGGCCCATAAGTGTCTCCATGATCTGTCTGCACCTTACCCTCATTTCCCGCTGGCCTCAGTTCCCACCACTCTGCCGCTGTTCATGCCACTCCAGCCTCATTGACCTCACTATCCTTGAACAGTGAGTCTACCAAGTACTCTGGCCTCAGGGCCTTTGCGCTGGCTGTTCGTTCTGCCAGAAATGTGCTTCCCCGTGGCGTACGCTTGCTCCCTCCTTTCAGATCTCTGTTTAAACTCTCCTTTAATAGTGTTTCCTAGGATCATCCCTCAAATAAACTAACTGGGCTCAAATACTTGCCTCAGACTCTACTTACGGGGGAAACCCAAACTAAAACAAGAAGTCATCTCAGGGGACAGGATCACTTTAGCCACGAGGTGCTGGCACGAGGGAGTGGGGAGAGTGAAATAGGGAAGAAGGGTATGCAGTGTACGGGCAGTCAATTGACTGACCACCTTGCATGGAGTGCACCTCAGAATCATCCACTTGAGGGCTGGAAAGGGGGAGTATTCATCCTTCAGCTCCTTGTCCCCCGATTGGTCATGGCTTATCCTATTGGAAATCCTTTCTAAACATACTTCCAGGTGGTACACATGCAGCTGGTAAGCAGATTTTCCCAAGGGCTCTGGGCAAAAAGCAAGAAGTAGGTAGAGCAGCGGAGGTGAGGCACTGCCTGTCAAATTACATTTGCGCAGAGCTGGTTCTCAGTGTGGTGGCTGGTTTAAAAGGTGAGCTAAGATAAAGTATGGGGTTTCCAATACAAAAATTAACACTATTCATTCTACTATTTTAAAAGATGTGATCAGATAATTTCACGAGAGGTACATCAAATTTTCAAAGCTTAGTAACATTACCTGAATAGGATTTAATGTTGTAACCAAATCAAACTTACAATAAAGTTGGCCTGAAAGTACATTCTATGATATACATAATTGCCACTCTTCTGCATGACGATTAGGCATAGATGGTAAATATCATGTAAAGATTATAGTTTCTACTGGGTTTACCAACATAGTAAGGAACTTCTAAGGCTCAAACGAATAAGGTTTCCAAAAGAACTGGGAGGCACAGGGACCTAATCCAAGGTTCTGTACAGATGCCTAGCCTCATAATTGGGATGAACACAAGCAGCTATTAGCCCAGGAGATCAGGCTCACATCCATTCCCTTGTTTTAGGAGTCAGAACACCAATGTTTTAGAACCTATCTTGCTTCAGCTAGTCCATTTCCATCATCTCTGAATTAAGCATTGCACCTAATTCTAAGAGGAGCAGAGGATGCTAAGAGGAGGACATGAGGTACTTCTCTGGTGACACAGTGGTTAAGAATTCGCCTGCCAATGCAAGGGACATGGGTCCGAGCCCTGGTCTGGGAAGATCCCACGTGCCACGGAGCAACTAAGCCCGTGCGCCACAACTACTGAGCCTGCGCTCTTGAGCCCGAGAGCCACAACTACTGAAGCCTGTGAGCCTAGAGCCCGGGCTCCGCAACAAAGACAAGCCACTGCAATGAGAAGCCCGCGCCCTACAACGAATAGTAGCCCCTGCTCGCCACAACTAGAGAAAGCCCGCATGCAACAACGAAGACCCAACACAGCCAAAAAAAAAAAAAAAAAAAACAGAGGAAGACATGACAAGAAGAGGGAAGAGGACTGCGGAGGTTCTCAGTATAACATGGCAGGAGGGAAGGTTAGGATGAGTAAAACAATGATGAGATTTCAGGGAAAGCCTTCTGCCCGCCAACGTCTCTCATAAACTGTTCTGCTGAGGTCCCTGAGAAGGTCCCATCCAGACTCAGCTCTGGTTCCCTTGACACTCTAAGCTGGCTCTGTGGGAGCCCAGGACTGCCTCATAAGCCTCACTGGAAAGTATTTATAAAGGGTTTTCCATCACACATACTACAGGAAAATACATGCGAGTGGGAAGTCTGCTAACAAAAGAAGGAGCTTAAGTGCCAAACAAACAGAAGAGACGGAAACCACTGCAGGATAGGAATAGAAAGAGACTGACATGCGATCTACCTGACCAGAGGTTGAAAAATGGTAGTCCACAGGCTGGATCCAGCCATAGGTGGTTATCATTGCCTGAAGAGAACTTTTTTTTAAATATCTGGGCTGGTACTTCCCTGGTGGCACAGTGGTTAACAATCCACCTGTCAATGCAAGGGACACGCGTTCGAGCCCTGGTCCGGGAAGATCCCACATGCCACGGAGCAACTAAGCCCGTGTGCCACAACTACTGAGCCTGCGCTCTGGCGCCCACAAGGCTAGAGCCCGTGCACCGCAACAAAGAGAAGCCCCCGCTTGCCGCAACTACAGAAAGCCCATGCGTAGCAACAAAGACCTAACGCAGCCAAAAATAAATAAATAAATAAATAAATAAATAAGTTTATTTATTTAAAAAATATATATCTGGGCCAACATTTAAAAATTAAAATTTTACATAATAGTCCATACTTCTCTTGATAAATTGAAAAGGTGGTCCCACTAGGCTTATTGCCTAACTTCTGAGACGGAACACATAGCTCATGGGGCACCCCGCCTACCACTAGACCCTATAGCTCGCCGTGTGGGCAATCGCCACTCCTCTCTTGCATCCATTGTATCCCCAGAGCTGTGCATTGAGCCTGACCCACTGCAGGCACTCCATATTTGTTGAGTTCTGAACAGATGGATGATAAAAAATGTTAAAAGGAAGTGAGGGTGGGAATCATATAAGTAATCAACTGTGCAGTGGGCCTCGGCAAATGAGTAGAACTGATTTTTATTTAGAATTCGTGGACTATTCATAATGCAATATGTGCTGGTTAGAAGTTCACCAGATATCAGGGTAAAATGGCATTCTCCAAGCAATACTAACGTCTTCCCAACCTTTTGTACCAGCTTCTGCCTGTAGGGTTTCTAGTGTGTTCTCCATGTTCAGTCTGCAGATGCTAATTGGCTTTTTAATATTTCTGTTATTCACTGTTATATTATTTTCTGTACTTTCTTGTTTACTTGGAAAAAATGTAAAGAAACCTCTTTTTCATGCTTGACATGACCTTTGCCTTTTTATTCTGAGATAAAGCTATTTGTAAAAATGCTTGCAATTTGACAGTAGTTCAATAAATCTTCATCTCTCAATAAGTACTAAAAACTGTAATTTCATTACCTGGTTGAAGCTCATTCCTTCTTCCCTCTTTAGCAGCTTGAACTAAACTTGCAGCTAATGGAAAAAGAAAAAAATAATCCAGTAGCAAATGATCCATACAGCGGCTTTAACAGTTTACCATTTTATACCCAAAATAAGTGAGGGCTCAAAGCTGTCAGTGGATGATTAAGGTGAAATACAAAGTATTCTTTTTTGTAGATACACTCTACAGATTCTTTATTTCAAATCTAATCTCCCAAGTGCATCTTCTCCCAGAAAACCATTGTTATAGAATGATCAAATATTGCAAAAATTCAATACTTTGAAACTAAAAAAATGTAGTTTAGTTCTTGAATTGTAGCAATGAAAGAGTTCAACTTACCCAGCAAAGTTCTCTCCCTGTTGACTGAGCAACTGACAACTTGCAAGTCTTTCTCAAATGTATAGAGATGCTATTAAAACAGAAGTATTTTTTAATGTGGAGTTTCATGTTAAACAACAATTTCATGAATGCAATTCCCATTCAGCTCTCTAGCAAGTATCATTGTGGTAAAGCATTTTATTAAAGAACCACCAGTGAACCAGTTCATCCATACTGAGAAGTTTCAGATTATTTTTTAAGAAAAAAGTTTGCTATTGTAGGCCATCTTTGGCACTGAAACTTAACCATGAGACAATATAGCATAGTGGTTAAGAGCATAGAACTTGGAGCCAAGCTAGACCCAGGTTCAAATCCTAACTCTGCCACTTGCTAGCTGTGTGACTTTAGATGAGTTATTCAACCTCTCTATCCTCCCATCAGTAAAACTGAAATCATAATACAACCTATCTCAGGAGATCCTTAGAAGTGGTGAGTTAGATAATCCATGTGAAAGTACTTACTACAATGTCTGCCACACATAATAAGTACTCAAGTGTTAGCTATTATGATTATTGAGGCAAGTACCTAATCAATTTACATGACTATGACATCATTAACTATGTCTAACAGACTGTCACAAGTGCATCCCCTAAAGGACTCTGTATTTAGAATACTGGCAAAGCAGTCTTCTTTTTTATTTAATCTTTATTTTTATTTTCTTGCTGTTTGATTGTTGCAAGATTCCATTTCCTGGAATAGTAAAGAAAACTAAAATGGTCATGCAGAAGGAGGATGTGAGGTGCAGATTGAGGAACTGGAGCCAATCACAGTTATATTAAGTAAAGTCTCTTAAAATACACTTAGAGGATAAGGAAAGATAGAGCCTTAGACTTCAGGAGAGAGCAGGCTAAGAGAAACAGTGACTGCAGAACTATTACGAAGGTAATTAGTACCTGCAGACTAAAGAACCACTGAGAACATACTAGAATCCAGTGGCCAGAAGTTGATAGAAAATGTTGAAAAGTCAGGAAAAGGGAACTTTGAGTTAATAAGAAGGCTCTGAATTCATGTGAGAAATTTTGGTTTCCTTTGACTCTTGCTCTAACTGAGGGATTCTTATTTATAAGTAAGAAGAGTCATGAATGTATACACTTAAGTTTTCAGTGTTTTATCCTTTTAATTAATAAATAACACACAAGGAGAGTCTCAGCATTTAAGACATGCGAACACTACCAAATAAAAAGTCTACGTTCTCCATTACATTCACCCAATTCCAATTTCCTCTGAAAAGGAAACATGTTTGTAATTTGCTCCGTAGCCTTCCAGATCATTCAAAATGAGTTTTTAATATATATTTATGCACGTACATATTTATCTTGCAAGTTTTTTAAACATAAACGGAATGTATTATTCTGGCAACTTGCTTTTTTCATGTAATAATGTGTTTTGGAGCGCCTTCTGTGCCAGTGTACATTTATAGACTTCTGAGTCCCTCAATACTGGTAAATTGTTTTTATGTAGGCACAAAGTGACTCCCTCCCATTTGCCCCAAGAATTAGACAAGCCTGTCACGTTAAGCAATGTCTTACGTGAGTAGTTTGAGGAAAGATTAAGAAAAGGAGGCTGGTTCTAAACCTGGATCTTTGAGAAGTAATGAAAAGCAAGAACAGTGAAGGTTACGCAGAATCAGAAGTCAGAGCCAGAGGTCATTATGAGATCCTAAGCTTCTGGGAGCACACAAATCCGGGGAAGGCGTTGGACTTCCTACACTCCTACAGAACATTGGATAATTGGTTTGCGCCAACTTGGCTTAAATCTCAAAGGACTAAGAGACCAGGTGACATTTTGTTCCAGGACTCCTTACACATTTTTTTTTTTTTTAAGATAATGGTAAAGGGAGAAGAGAAGGAAGCAAAGAAATATAAACTAAATTTTTAGAAAATAAAATGAAATAAGAAGTTGTATCTAGAAAGAAGGGAAAACTTGAATAGCAGGAAAGTAACCAATAAGTAACTATAATCTATGGTGATTTTTACCTCATTTTGTTTGGTCTGGTAATCATACAATCCAAAGAAGACATTTCCCTTATCATCCTGAAAAGAAAAAATTAACTAGATGTTTATTAAATGTCATTGTTTAGGAAGTTACTAGTTTTAAAAGAAACCTGCAATAATTCAACCAGTATTAGCAACAAGCACTCTAAAGGTAGCCTGCTGTGCATGTCAGAGAGGGACTGAACCTGTTTCTGCTGGTCATATGGATCAAAGAGTGAAAGGCAATAAGAATGTACAGCTCAGTGAGTCTGGGGGACCCTGTCTCCTAGGACTGAGCATGGTGAAGGAGCGAATCTTTTTGTACTTCCATTTATTTCTGTAAGAGAATATATATGACGGTCACTGAAAGTGGCCAGAACAAGTCCCTGATATTCTTATAAGTAAAACTTTTTGAATCGTACAACTCCTTTAACGCAGCATCCTCATAGATACAACTTAAAATAACTTTTTTTAAGCAAAAAAAAAAAAGTACAGTAATACAACTGTGCAAAGCAAACTGACCACTGTTATCATTCTTCCACTTTTCACTACTACGGTAAAGTTATCTGTAAAGTTAAATTTTCTTTCCTTAGAACAATTAATATTGAAAACACACTGTCAAATATTAATACCTCAAAAGTCTGAGCATATATAAGTTTGAAAAGATGATGTATAGTAATAATATTTAATATTTTCTCAAAGATAAAAATTTAACATTAATTAGGTTTAAACATCTCTTACTTGGCATTTTTCCTGTAGAAAATGAAACTGTTCATCTATTCAAAACATTTGAGCACTGTGTCAGACACTGTGTAGTTTTTTACTTAAAAAAGAGAAAATATTTCATAAGACTGAATTTCAATTACCCTACTCAATCTCACAAAATAAAAAATGTCATATGTTAAAGATTAAATGCCAACAGGTCTTATTCACTACCCCTCAGTAAGATACAGCATAAAACTCTGTAAAAAAAGAAATGGTTAAAATGGTAAATTTTATGTTATGTATATTTTACCACAATTTAAAAAAAGAATATAGGCATACCTTATAGGTATAAATAATATTTCCATTTCTTTCAACATTTAGTACACGTAAGCTCTCATAATTGTTTTCTAAAACACCTGAAACAATAATAGCAAGTTAATACTTAGCAGACGTTTACAAACATATCTAACAAATACAATATTAGTGAAAAGCCAAATACAAAAGAATACTGATCATACCATTACATAGAGTTTAAAAACAAGCAAAGCTAATCTATTTTATCAGAGATCAGACTAGTAATGACCTTTAGTGAAGAGGAAAGGAGCAGTGATTAGGAAGTACCTCAAGGGAGCCTTGCTAATGGAAGTGTACACATTGGAAAAAACCAGCAGAATCTACTGAAGCTGAATACATATGGCTCAAAAATTGCCCTTGTACATATATCTCATAAGAAGTATACACATATTGTGGCAAATAACACATATGACATCTACAGCACTATGGTTCAGAGACTTCCCTGGTGGCGCAGTGGTTAAGAATCCGCCTGCCAATGTAGGGGACACGGGTTCAAGCCCTGGTCCGGGAAGATCCCACATGCTGTGGAGCAACTAAGCCCATGCGCCACAACTACTGAGCCTGCGTTCTAGAGCTTGTGAGCCAAAACTATTGAGCCCGCGTGCCACAACTACTGAAGCCCGCATGCCTAAAGCATGTGCTCCACAACAAGAGAAGCCACCGCAGTGAGAAGCCCACACACCGCAAAGAAGAGTAGCCCCCGCTTGCTGCAACTAGAGAAAGCCTGCACATGGCAACAAAGACCCAAAGCAGCCAAAAATAAATAAATATAGCACTATGGTTCATAATAGTCAAAACTGGAAACCCAAAATATCCATCAAGCAAAGAATGAATAAGTTGTGGTATATTCAAACAGTGGAGTATTATACAACAATAAAAATGAATTAACTTGCTATAACATACACCATAAATGAGTACAAGAAGCCCACATACTCACCCCTCCCAAAAAAGGTACAAACTGTATGATTTAATTTACACACAAGTTTCAAAATCTGGCAAAAAGAATCTATTGCGCTAGATGAGTGATTGCTGGAAAGGAGTATGAAGGGGACCTTTGGGGTTCTATTAATTTTCTCCTTCCGGCTCTGAGTGCCAGTTCCATGGGTGTGCCTCACTTTGTGAAAATTAACTGAGTTGCACTTGTGATTTGTGTACTTTTCTGTATGAAGGCCATATTTGACAAAGGATATAAAGATTTTTTACACAAAACATTTAACTTGTAAGTTAACGGACCATCATTTTTCCTCTAAAATTTTTGGATATTCCTCCGATTTCTACAGTTAAAGGATTTAAACACTGGTTAGAAACAGCATTGATAATTATCATCATTAATTGGGAAGAAAAGTATATATCCCCAATTTCCTCAAAATTAAATTGCTTAAACTTGACTCATTTTCCCCACATAAGAATAGTGTTATTAGATGTTAAAATATTATGTTGATTATGACAAATTCCAATATTCAGACAAAACATATGCAAAATATCCTATAAATCAGAGCAAATTTCAGTTTGTATTCCTGATTAAAAAGGAAAAATCAAGACACAAAATCAGGATAATTGGTGAGCTCAACCCCTGCACTGGAGCTGGGAGTGGAAAACATTTAGAGATGGTTCACTGAGAACTTAGGAATCATCCTGAGATCTCTCTTGCCAACTCCTCACAAGAAGAAGCTGCCTGGCTCTTCAGGGGGCAGGGCAAAGAAGGGGGTAAGTGTTGCTTATATATGGGTATATACACTTTTCAATGTATATTGAGGTATCAGACACATTATTCTCAATATTAAAAAAAATAAGAATAATCACTTGGTCTCTTAGGATAATAGTATGATTCAATTAGCTTACTGCTGAACAGCACTTCATAATTTACAGAGTTCTCACTGCTATCTCAATCATACTGTATAAGGTACTACAGGCCCATTGTATGGGTAAAACAACTGAGTTTCAATGAAGTTAAGATATTTGGCCAATACCATATATTGAAAAAGTGGCACAGACTAATTTCAAGCCTAGGAAAAGGTAAACAGAATGAACTAAGTTTCCTGTATCATACTCACAATGGGAACACGGATAATTACTGAAAAATCCTTTAAGGTGGATTTTGCAGACATCTAAAGAGGATTTCAGTGAGTTCCTTTTCATCCTGCACATGACTCAAAACTCCTGGAATGCAATGTGTCAATATTTTGAGAAGCATTTTTTTTTTTCTTTCAAGATTATAAGGATGCTGGAAGAGACCTTCTCAAAAGTACACTTAAAAGGTTTCAACTAAGATAAGAAACTTCTTTACAAGAATCTTGCTAAGAAAATCCAATTTCCTTGCAAAAGCACATCTATTTCCAAATCACGAAAATACTAAGAGAAAAAAATTCTCCAACAAGTGCAGATTACAACACATGATATATGCTTATTCCATTAAATCAATGGTTCTCAATGCTTGTGTTGTGTTAGAATCATCAGGGGAGATTTTAAAAGAACATGGATGTCCAAGCCCTGTCCCAAATATCCTAATTTTTTTCAGCTGGTGAGGGCCCTACTCCCTGATGTCTGTATTTTTAAGTTTCCCTTGTTATTCTAATGTGCAGCCAGAGCTGAGAACCAGTGAACTACATATTTATAAATAATATACATTAAACAATATTCATTAGATAGCATAACTAGGACCTGCTTATAATGTAACCAGAGTAGAAAGAAATAATAAAAATAATGCCTTCATGGGTCTGTTAGGGAGTAAGAATTGCAGTCTTAAATAATCCTGCAGTTAAGTACATGGTTCTCATCTGAAGGATATTTGCATTCGATAAATTTAGCAATGTTGGTAAGCCAGAGACCAGGGTCTCACCACACACTATAAACCCATTGGCCCTTCCTCCCCGGATTAGTTGCTCATGTTTTAGACACACCCTTTTAAAAGACTTATTCAATAACCTCTTTGCTTATTCATTCTGACTCTTCTCCCACTAGTTCAACTCTGGAAAGTCCAGAAGAGGAAGTTTAGCAATTTCAAATGAGGAAATGTGGTTTAATTTTACAGTTCAGTGAAATCAGAGTTCATGAAGGAAAAATGTAGCATTCTGATAAATACTTGCATAAGTAAACCTACTAAAAAAACGGAGAGTACCTAGATATTAAAGGTGTTGGTGAGTCACAGCTCATGTAAAATTAAAGCTGGTTTGCCACCCCAGTGTCCACTGAAGCCCTATTTACAAGAGCCAGGTCATGGAAGCAACCTAAATGCCCATCGACAGATGAATGGATAAAGAAGATGTGGTACAGGGCTTCCCTAGTGGCGCAGTGGTTGGGAGTCTGCCTGCCAATGCAGGGGACACGAGTTCGAGCCCTGGTCCGGGAAGATCCCACATGCTGCGGAGCAACTAAGCCTGTGTGCCACAACTACTGAGCCTGCGCTCTAGAGCCCACAAGTCACAACTACTGAGCCTAAGTGCCACAACTACTGAAGCCTGCGCGCCTAAAGCCCGTGCTCCACAACAAGAGAAGCCACGACAATGAGAAGCCCGCGCACAGCAACAAAGACCCAACACAGCCATAAAATAAATAAAATAAATAAATTTATTTAAAAAAAAAGAAGATGTGGTACATATATACAATGGACTATTACTCAGCCATAAAAAGGAACAGAACTGGGTCATTCGTAGAGATATGGATGGACCTAGAGGCTGTCATAGAGAGTGAAGTAAGTCAGAAAGAAAAAAACCAAATATGTATTAACGCATATATGTGGAATCTAGAAAAATGGTACAGATGAACCAGTTCTCAAGGCAGAAATAGAGACACAGATGTAGAGAACAAACGTATGGACACCAAGGGGGGAAAGCAGCAGTGGGGGTGGGGAGCTGGTGGTGGGATGAACTGGGAGATGGGGATTGACATGTATACACTAATATGTATAAAACAGATAATAAGAACCTGCTGTATTAAAAAAATAAAATAAAATTCAAAAAAAACCCTATAAATATTTTCATTTATAGTTTCTATCTTTGATGTCATGCACAGAATTGTCTTTCCTACCCTGAGATTATATAAATGCTTGGTATATTTTTTTCTACAATTTTTGTGTTTTTATTTTTTTAATTATATATTTGATCCAACTAAAATTTATTTATGTATTTATACTCATACGTATACAGTATGAGATAACATTTGTCATTATACTTTGTTTACAAATGGTTACCCAGTTGTTCAAATGCCATTTATTGAATTGTTTTTTCTGAAATGCCACACTTATAATGTAGTAAACCCCTATGTATATTTCTGAACTATTTATTCTTGTTCCATTGACCCGTCTACATATTATTAAGTCAATGCCACATTGCTTTGATTACAGCTTTATAATGCTTTTTAATATTTGGTGGTCAAGTCCTCTGTGATCACTCTCCTTTCATGGCTATTCTCATCCTTTTATCTTTTCAAATAAACTTTAGGGTAAATTTGTAAAAAAAAAAAAAAAAAAAAACTGGTTTGCCAGATAAGTCTCGTCCACTTCAATGTATTCTTTGCCAAACACGAGTGATTTCACTTTAAAAGAAGATGTCTGTCAAATATGTAAATTTGGTTTCCAACTGCTATGAGACAAAAATCAAATAAAAGTATTTCTTTTCTTTCCAATGACTATGGGGGTGGAGGGAGTCTCACAGCCCTATACAAAAATTTGAACTAGTTCCTAAAACAGAGATCAAGGAGTGCCAAGATATAATTATCCTATGACATTTCTATTCTGTAAATAATTCACATAAAATCTCTTGCTCACCAGGACCAGATATTATAATTTCTAAATGTATGAAGTAAACATTATTATATGATTTATATTTCATATTCTGAATAAAATGAGAAAAATCAAGGATGGGGTGATTAGTTAAGCAATAAAGAGAGAAAAGAATTAGAAAAGGAGACTAGGAAGGTAGGGGAAGGAAAAGTGAAAAGGAAGGACAGTGGCGAGAGAAGAGTAAAACAATAAACAAAAACAATGTGACTGAGCCAATCCTCTGGCCCCCAAATCCGTCTGGGGGTATCTAGGAGGCAACAATAAAAGCATTACTCTTGAGTC